TTAAAAAAAAACCCATTCTTCAGTCTCTGGCTTATTTTTTCACATTGTTTATAGTGTCTTTTGGTGCATAGTTTCTACTTTTAAAAGGTTGAAGTCATTTTTTTCCACCTTGGTTTGGACTTTTATATTTTAGGAAGGCCTCCCCTACCCCAAGTTCATAAAGACATCTTCTATATATTTGCAGCTTTCATTTTTTACTTTGAGCTCTCTAATCTGCCAAGAACCTAATTTTGTATAGTGGTGTGAGATGGAAAACTTTCTAATTTTTCTTACATGAACAACTAGTCCCAGCAACAGTAATTGAATAGCCCATCTTTTCCCCATGAATTTGTAATATTTAGTTTGCAGATTCTCATCAGTCTCTTCTCTGTATTTTATAACACCCAAGCACAGAAGAGTAAAATGAAGTCTTGAGCAAAATATCTGGATACCCTGAGCTTTAAACAATGCTGAAGATGAATTGTTTTTTTTTTTTTTTAACCCTGTCATGTCAGCCCACACCTGTATGTAACTCCAACACATCTTTGAAAATGAAAGTTTATTTGTATTGACAATAGGTTGCAAATACTTATGTTCGTGAATACTGAGCATTTAATCTCAAGCAACAGTGTAAAAAGGGATCCTAATAATGACCTTGATTGTCCTACCTGTTACTTATGGATGGCTTTAGCCAGTGTTCCTCTTAGAGACCAAAACCTAAAGTAGCAGCAAACCAGAGCTCAGACTATTGACAATAACTTTATGATGTGATATTACATTTGTGTCTCAATATGTGAAAGTCTGATGTCCACGGTAAATGTAATGAAGTCCTTATATTTATGTCTGTGGTCAGCTGTGGTGTTCATGGGTTAAACAGTCATGCAGTGCATGTGTGGAGCTTTGCTGAATTGTGTAGCTTTTAAAACAAGAGGAATAAGTCTGCCTCAAAGGTTAAGACATTTACATTGAAAAACCTGAAGGGAAAATTAGTACCTATGAAAGTTTAAATTCATTCAGATGAGGAAGGCGTCATCTAAGAACAATATGAACTGCTGATTGATTAGTCCCTTCAGGGGAGAGGTGACTGCAAATGGTGACAACAGGCCAGTGGCGTAGCTAAGGTTTCAGAGACTTGGCCTATGGCAGTTGGTGGCTGTGAACTCAGTTGGTGTACCGTTCTGGCCTCACATGAATTTTGCAACATCTCCGATCCCAGTCGAGCTGGGTGAACGGCTTGGCCTGTCTTCAGTGCTTCACCATCCGAAGCAGACAGCGTCGTGTTGACCAGACAACCAACCACCTTCGCGCAAAGCAGGCTGTGAAAAAGAGGCATGAACGTTGTCCAAGGGGCTATGGCTTAGTGGTTCTCAAACTTTGTGCAAAAAAACCCCTGAGGCTTCTTGGCTCACATGCCTCACTTCTGAATCAGTAGGTCTCCGAGGGCTGGGAGGCTGCACACTTATCAAACACGGCAGCTGGTGCTGGTGCTGGTGCAAGAGCTTTGAGACCACACTGTAGCCACAGAAGCTGCTCCTTCACACGTGTCTGCCATGATTTTGGTTGTCGTCAAGGGCAATTGGTGCCATTTAAATTTAATATTTCCTCTTTGTAGATTCACTTCTTTTGCTTAATAAGCTTAGAAAAATTATATCTCTACTGTAAAGGTAAAAAATCAATATCATTATAAATAGATTGCATATGCATTAAGGTGAATGTGTGCGTGCGTACACACGTGTGTATGTATGTAGGTATAAATACATATACCTAAACATCGGTGATGATTTTTCCTTTCAGTCTTTTGATTTAAATGTCAATATTGGGGGGCACCTGGGTGGCTCAGTCATTGAGCGTCTGCCTTCAGCTTGGGTCATGGTCCCAGGGTCCTGGGATTGAGCCCTGCATCGGGCTCCCTGCTCGGCGGGAAGCCGGCTTCTCCCTCTCCCACTCTCCCTGCTTTGTTCCTTCTCTCGCTCTCCCTCTGTCAAAAAATTAAAAAAATACTAAAAAAAAATGTCAACCTTGGGGCAAGTTTATATGTGTGTGTGTGTGTGTGTGTGTGATATAAATATACATCTGTAGTTATATTTCATCCACCGAGCATTACTTAACATAAGTATATATTTCATCTGCTTGATATCTTTTGTTTCACAGTTTTGCAAACACTGAGGGAAAGGGGGGCCTTAGGGAGGAAAGGCGCATTCATTTCAAGCCTTCAGGAATTAGGTCTTAGTCTTGCACTGAAGAGGATTTCTAATGTTAGAAATAGCACATTGGGAGTGGCTGATGGGCTTTGAGATGACAAGTCTAGTTCTCTGCTCAGTGGAGGGAGGCCGCCTCAACAGGAGAAACAGTTCTTCGAGAGCTAGCCTAGCCAAGAAACGGAAGGGAGGATGGATCTCTTTTCAAGAAGTAGAAAGCCTTTCAGTTTTGGTAATAAACTTTTGGGGAAGGAAAGAGGAAGGCAGGGGTGACATTGCTGAGAACTGTGAGGGCTCACTGTGTGCCAGGCACTGTGTGAGGTGCTCTGCACACGTCCTCTCATTCAGCCTTCTTGACGCCAGCCCACGTGCACACCACAAATGCTGATGCATTGAGCCATTTGCCCAGGGGTCTGTAGCCACCCCGGGTCCCCATAACCAGAGAAGAGGGGACAGAGTGACAAGAATCATCAGAATCTTATTTCCATTAAGACTTTATAAAAAAATGGATTAACTACTAAATTTTAAGTTGTGGAAAAGGATGTTCAGTTAAGTTGGCATTCTTTTGTTTTGCTGCACGGTCCTGAGTGTGCATCATCTTGTGAGCCTGATGGAAGCATAGAAACACTTTACCTCCCATGCCTTCCAATGAAGACCTCTCAGTTTGTAAAAGTTTTCTTATTGTAGGTTCTGTAGAGTCAACTCTTAATGTGATAACCTTTAGTGATGATGTAAACCTGTAGTAAGAAAGTGAAAAACCAAAAATCTCCCTCTTGTTTCTGCTCATGATTACTTAATGGAATCATCATTAACAATCTGTGAGTTGATCACCGAGACCTACTTGAGTATAGTGGTTAAGGGTAATCAGAGGCCCATCTGAAGATGGGGAGTGTGGAAAAGGTGGACCCTGGTGAGTAAGCCACTCTAGGAGAGCTCATGAGTCAGGCTGGACAGATTCTTTCATAGAACCTTTAGACAGATTTTATCAGGAATGTACATTCAGGATTTGGCTTGGATATTATGATGATCATTATGATACTAACTTTTAATCTTCTGTATTTGGGGTTCTTTTTATTTTATTTTATTTTTTATTTATTTATTTTTTTAAGTAAGCTCCACACCCAGTGTGGAGCCCAACAGGGGACTTGAACTCATGACCTTGAGGTCAAGACCTGAGCTGAGATCAAGGGTCAGTCCCTTAACTTACTGAGCCACCCTGGTGCCCCTGGAGTCCTACCTATCTATCAATCTCTATCTCTTTTTTTTATTTATTAAGATTTTATTTATTAGAGATATGACAGATAGAGAGAGCATGAGTGGGAAGGAGAGAGAGAAGCAGGCTCCCCAGTGGGCAGGGAGTCCAGTGCAGGTGGGGCTTGATCCCAGGACCCTGAGATCATGACCTGAGTCAAAGGTAGCCGCTTAACCAACTGAGCCACCCAGGCGCCCTCCTCCCCTGGAGTTCTTTTTAAAGGAAAATCTCTCCAGCTGCTAGTTCTGAGATAATGATGAGCTCTGTCCACTTCCAGCTATTTTCCACATAGTCTGTATTATGATTTCACAACATTTCTTGATACAAGACAAGTAGCAAAATAGCCCAGCCTTGGGGCGCCTGGGTGACTCCATTATTTAAGTATCCAGCTCTTAATTTCAACTCATGTCATGATCTCTGGGTCGTGGGATCAAGCCCTGCATCAGGTTCCACGCTCAGCACGGAGTCTGCTTGAGTTTCGCTCCCTCTGCTCCTCCCCCTGCTCGTGCTCTCTCTCTCTCTCTCTCAAATACATAAATAAATCTTAAAAAAAAATAGCCCAGCCTTCTCTAGATTAAAGAGGTATCTGATATATTAAATAAAATGATGCCCATAGAAGCGCCAAGGAAATATGGCTTTTCCCAGAAACTTTTTTTTCTATTTAATAAATAAAAATGATGAAACTAACCCTATATCTTTTTCCTTTTGGAAGCCTGAAAACTCAGAACCCAAATTTGAGGCTCCTCAGCTCTTGTAATTCTGGCTTCAGGGTCCACGCATCATTGTTCTTTTTCTTCTCTAGGGTAGGCTTTCTGCCCTAACTTATCTTTTCCTAGGGCCCAATTAATTATTTTTTTATATTTGCTGTGAGACTAGCTGGCATATAACAGCAATTAAATATACACATGAGTAAATATAAAGATCTGACTAAAAGTAGATATAAAAATAAGCATTCTGTATTAAATTTCCAGTGTGAGTGCTGGCTTGAGCAGAATGAGCTAGAATTTCTCCTTCCCATGCTTTTGGCAGCTTTAAACTTTACATATTCTTCCTTTCTTGTGAGCCATTACAAAATTGTTTCTCAAGGTCGTTCCTCTGTTGCCCATCTTGCAGACAGAGTTGGGAATTTGTGGTCAGAGTTGCATTGGAGACACACACACACACCCCAGCATTAGATGGTTTTATCTGTTGTGTATCAAATAATTTTAAATATATATTTCTACACTATTTAAAAGCATTCGTTAGAGGATTAGTAATTCTTGTCTAAAACAATCTGCAGACTGGCAGTTAGAATAATTTTAGTGTCTTATTTTGGTTAGGAGTGGGTTTTTTGTCTTTTAAACTCAAGATTGTGAATGGTTTTAATTATTTTCAGTAGAGATTTCAGGTTTACATTTGAGCTTAGAAACAAAGTATTTTTTTCTCATTCCAGAGGGAACTAAACTCTACATCTCCCTTCCTGAACAAGGAACTGGTTAAAGCCACAGAAACTTTGCTGGATAGTCTCGGGACTTTGGCCCAAGAGGTAAGTTGTGCCTTTCAGCACCAGGAGGCAGACCATCCACTCTGGCTTTTTCTCTACCCCAAGTGTGGCTTAGAGGGTCCTTTTGATTTGAATATCACGTGACGCATAAAATCAATTTTAGAAGCATCCGTGAACTTAAAAGTCATCTGATTTGAGCTCCTTCCTTTAGAGATGAAGAAACCAAGATGCGGAGATGTCTCAGAGCTAATTAGTTTGTGGCTGAAGTCCCGGTACCTAGTCTGGAACTTTCTCCCAGTGTTACTCTCTGAACCCAGCAAGGCCAGTCTTTTTACCAAAACGTTTGTTTGCTAACTAAAGGGGATGGCGTGTAGCCCTAATTCAGACCTTCCCCTGTAAACACCTGGCCTCTGACATTCGCCTTTGGAAATGCCATTTCTTGACAAACATTAAGACGCGTTTGCCTTTTGAGTCTGCATGTTGACAGACGTATCAGAATAACTTTATATGTGCAAGATCAGGGGGGCCTGTAGGTGCTGGCAAAAGCTGTTAACCTTTTCTCTGCCTGCCGGCCAGGGTGACCCTCACACACAGGACACCCAGCCTTGTTGCGGGTTAGACTTGGAGAAGAGGAGCTGTTTGGAGCCCAGAGTGTAAGGAGCTGAGCCGGGGGGCGGCCGTCAGAAATAGTCAGGCCTAAATGTCTGGGACAGTGGATAGGGATAATGTTCTCAGCCTTGGTCCAGCCTTTTTTGAATCGTTTCTCTAAATCATTTTTTGGTATTTGCTTTATTTTTCTCAAATATCAAAATTTAGGTTTCCGAGAATAAACGTATCGTACGTCCATGATGGCAAGTGCAGAGCATTTGGAAAACACGGAGATTAAGCCCTGTTGACAATTTGGCATATTGCATTTAGTTCAGTTTTCTTTTTTCTTTGAATTCTGCTCATGGGTGTCTGGCTGAAGAGGCTTGGGTTTTGGGTCCCTTTCGGGAGAAGTCCTTTAGAGCCTGCCATTTGTTATTCTGCTTGTGAATGCTGGTGACCTTTAGGTAGGTGCAGAAGCTGGGTCACCTGGGGCTCTTCCAGAAAGAAAAACAGAAAGTGACCTGCAAGTGCATAGCCGTTGCTCCAGGGTCCTGCTAGTGAGCACCAGCATACCCTGTGCTCTCCCAGCTTTCCTCCCAGCCTTAGAGCAAGCAGAGCGGAGCCTGTGACGTGGGAGGGTGTCTCTAAATTTAGGGTCTGGGTACAGTGTTTTCTCTTACATCACTGGTCTGCCTTTTGTCCAGGGTAAGAAAAATAATTGAAAGCATGTGATGTTTCCATTGCTGATGAGGCAGAAAGTCTCCACTGAGCCATGTATCATTTTTCTTGGCAGCTGCTTCCCTGTGCCCTGCTTGCTCCCTGGGCCAGGGCAAGCAAGGGCCACCCACTGCTCTCTGTGGAACACCTTCAAGTAACCATGACCATGAGTTACTTATTGTCAAACTTGTTATTTCCCTGAGACAGATGGGGAGAAGATAAATATATGCACATGTGTATCTGTTCAGTGTTCGAAAGAAAGTTGGATGTTTTGACCAAAGTACCACCCTTGAAAGGAAAAGGGAGCTAACAGTTTCTGAGGCCCTCCACCTGATTCATGCAGTTTCACCCCATTTCCCTATATGTTCACATGACAAATGTGAGTGGGTCTTATTCTGCCCACTTTACAGATGGCACGGAGGCTCAGAAGAGTGGGACTCACAGTCATCTAGGTAGTTAATTGGCAAAAACTAGGATTTGAACCCAGGACTGTTGGACTACAAACCCCATGTTCTTGCTGCTAGAGCCTACTTTTTGTGTGATGAACTCTGGTGGAAACTAGACTAGAATAGAAAGGATACCCTTCAAAGAAGGAAATGCGGATTAACAGGGCCTGGCAGTTGGGTAGCAATGGGGACTTTAGGAACCAGATGAGTGAAAGCTGCATGAGCTCCACATCTGGGTGACAGGGAAGGTGTGCCTGATGTGATGGGGAAGGCAGGACGGGGAGCCCCCTAGTTATCTCTTCAGCCCCTACCAGGGGCCTGACATTGCTAGATGGTGGGGTCTCAGAAGCGAGCACACTAGCTTTCCTGTTCTCATGGGGCTTGCGTGGTGGGAGATAGAAATAAACAGGTCAGCATATAATGTGCTGAAGAAAAATAAAGCAGGGTAAGAAGGATAGAGGGTGCTTGAGGTATTGTTTCAACGGGGTGATTAGAGGCGTCCTCTCTGACAAGGTGACAGTTGAACCTGAAGAAATGACCATACATTGTCCACTCCAAGCAGGAACAGATACAAAGACACTGATGTGTAGGGCATGATGAAGGAAGGTATTTAAAGACCCGGGAAGGAGGATGGTGTGGCCAGAACAGAGGGAGCAAGGGAGAGGGTGCTGGGAGCTGAGGTCGGAGAGGGAGGTGAGCACCGTGCAGGCCTGGTAAGGCTGGATTTAAGCTGAGCAAGATGGTAAGCCAGTGGGGGGTTGGAGCACAGGGTATATGATGTGACCTAGAGTATGAGACTGTTAACAGTTTGGCTGTTAACTTGAGATGAGACTAAGGTGGGGGCACGGGAAGAAGGGGGCCATTGCAGTGTCTTGAGAAAGTAGTCAGCCAGCCATTCAGTTGCTCCACAGATGATTATCAAACACCGTCTTCCGTGGGCTGGAGGACAAATGGCCACCCTTCCCTGTGAGTGGGAGTGCTTCACAGAACAAGTGTGGAGCATGAGCCGAGGTGTGGAAAAATGAGTAGGAGTTCCCCCCAAGACAGGTGCTGGGAAGAGCTGACAGTTTGGAGTAACTCCGTCATTCTGGTGCCTCTGTCCAAAGATGTACTGGTTTTATGTGGGAAGAAGTTTGTTCTTTCGGTTGGGGGCTGGTGGTAGTGAGGCAACCTCTGGAAAGAGAAGTGAGTGGCTCTCACTCACTGTCATTAAAAAATCTCCAGTGCTGTTTACCCACCAACAAAAGGAAAGGTGGTCTGGCTACCTCTGCCCTCCCTGTCCAAATACCTCATCCAAGTGATGAAAAGATAAAGTAAGGAAAAGCTAGCCACCCAATTGTGTTCTTGTAGTATATATCAGATGCTCCCTATTTGGAGGGAGAAAAGTTTGTGACCTCTGACCTACCCCTGGAGTGCCTGGTTTCCCCCTGGAGGCAGAAGGCAAAGTCAGGATCTACAGTACCAAGGAGCATGTGACCCAAAGGAACCAGAAGGCTGAGATGGAAAACTGGGCACACGGTATCAGAATCTAGGCGTTCTACAGGGGATGGGCAGGGCCCTGGGTCTCTCCCCTCTGCCCTCCATGGCTCAGTCTTCGGGGTGGTGAAAACATGCAGTGACATTTCAAGGAATGTAGAGATTTATTACTGATTTATTGTGAAATGTGTAGAAATGCAAAGTGTGTGATAAGTATTTAATCCCGTGCTGTCGAACACCTCACTGAGACCACGATGGGCACTTCACACATACCACCTTCCCTCCCAGGGGCAGAGGCGTCCTCAGTTTCCACGGGGAAGTTTAAGGTGTTTTAGAAATAAGGATGTGCTCTAGGGTGTGAGCAGTTCCTGAAGGATGTATATGAACACAGTGGCTATTCAGAGAAAGCCTTCTCTTCCGTCAACTAGAAGATAATCCAAATGGAATAAAGCCCATCACCAGAGGCTCCACTGACTTCTGGTTTGTGCTTCTCAATCTTTAATTTGCATAGGGATCACCTGGGTGTCTTGTGAAAATGCAGATTCGAATTGTAGTTGGATAGATCTGCACCTCGCCCATAACTCCCCTGCTGGTCCCAGGACCACCAACGGAGTAGCAGGGTTCTGGCAATCCCATCGCAAGGCTCAGAGGACAGGACACAGTATGTTCCGGGGTGTGGCTCTGGAGAGGTCAAGAAAATAAGCTGCTTCTTTCTCTCTCTTTCCCCACCGTCGTGATACTCTTTTCTCCTCCTTCCCTTCTCCCTCCCTTTTTCTTCCCGATCCCGGGCACCAGCTGTTCAGCATGAACAGCTGGAGCGACATGCGGCAGGAGGTCATGTTCCTGACCAGCGTGAACAGCTCCAGCTCGTCCACCCAGATATACCAAGCCGTGTCCCGCATTGTCTGTGGCCATCCCGAGGGCGGGGGCCTGAAGATTAAGTCCCTCAACTGGTATGAGGACAACAACTACAAAGCTCTCTTTGGCGGCAACGGCACGGATGAAGATGCTGACAGCTTTTATGACAATTCTACAAGTGAGTGCGTAGAAGGAGGCCCCGGGCAGCCAGCCAGCCTCAGCCCCCCATTAGTGCTAGCCTGGGTCCCCGTGTCCCCCCTCCCTCATGTTTACCGCATCCCCACATTTTATAGGCTCAGCAAGGTTAAGTGACTTCATCAGAGCCACACCGTAGTGAATCCACAGGAGCCGGGGTTAAGCCCGGATCTGCCTGGCCCCGTGCTTTTTTTTTCCCCCCCCGTAAACCACATGGCCTCTGAGACGGCTGTTAATGTGGTGCGTGTACTGTCAGACTCAGGCATTTGATCTGCTGTTTGTTTTTGGTGCTTAGCTGCAAGGTAGTGTGAAAGAACCTTGTAACTCCATATCTGCTTCTCACACTTGGGCAGTTTCATGGGGATGTGTGTTCTGTGTCTCGTGGCAGCAAGGAGCCAGTGTTACAGTTTTAGACAATGGCATCATTTTCCTTGAACACATGATGCGAGTGAGCCTTTCTCCATTTCCAACCGCAGGTGTCTCTTTCAGACACTGAGTGAGGTAGCTTTTTATGCATTACTGTAACACAAGAACCTTTTATTCTTTCCTGGAGTAAAGCACTCCAGACATAGCAGGGTGCTTTGCAAGCCTGAAGGGGATGGCATTAGAGGAACTTCTCTGAAATGCTGTCCGCTCCACTCCCTCACTTGCAAGTCAACCCAAGGGAACCTTCCTCTGCAAAGCAGATCCAACTATGAGCAAATCCTTTTTTTTTTTTTTAATATATCCTCTCTGCAGCATATAGAGGATGCTTGCCATCTAAAAAACCCAAAATGAATTAAAAAAAAAAATTCAGGAATCCTTCTGGATAACCAAACCTCATTGTCTATTATAACTTTGGATTTTTCCTTTAGGAATTTTTATTACATATATTACATATACTTGTGATGAGACCTGTTAAAGGGAAATGTTTTATTTTTGCCCGAAAACTAAAATCTAAATTCAGGTCTCTGTTCTCAATGAAAACAAATTGGCAAGCTGACACGAGACTATGAATCTAGAGTTATGCAGGTATGTGGGCAGTAAAAACATTTTTCTAGATCCTCTCGGTTGTGAGTTACCCCTCACCAGTGTTATAATAAGCTCTGATTACTTGTCAAGCATTGTTGTAGGGGCTGTATAGATAACCTCTGTTAATCCTCACCACATCTCTGCCACGTACATAGTAACTGAGGCTCACACAAGTGAAGTTATTTGTTACATAGCTGTTACTAAGTGGTGGAACTGGGATTTGAACCCAGGACTGTTCGGCTAGCTCCAAAGCCCTTGTTAGTTCCTACAAGTATATGACCATGCGTATGAATATCTGTCTTTCGTCGTCTTCGTAGCTCCTTACTGCAATGATCTGATGAAGAATTTGGAGTCCAGTCCCCTTTCCCGCATCATATGGAAAGCTCTCAAGCCTCTGCTTGTTGGGAAGATCCTGTATACACCTGACACTCCAGTCACAAGGCAGGTTATGGCCGAGGTAAGCTGCGCAGGCCCAGAACTCCCTCTCTAGAATCCTCCTAGAGCCGTGGGCAAGAAAGTGAAGGTAGCTTCAAATGGATTGTATCGATTATGCTCACGGCTCTTCAGGGTTTCCAAAGAGGGAGAACCGCAAGTGTGGCCCAGGCCAGAGCTGACGTGGAGGGCCAGCTCTCCAGCCTTGGGTATTTGGATCATAGCTGCAGGCACCTCTTAGGGATGGGAAAAGACTGGAACAGCGATGGAGCATCTCGTCAGGGGGCAGCTGAATGTCTCATGGCCCTGTCTCTCTCCTTTTTTCCTGCTGCCTTTGGGTCCCCGACTGACTCCAGGTGAACAAGACCTTTCAGGAACTGGCTGTGTTTCATGATGTGCAAGGCATGTGGGAAGAGCTCAGCCCCAAGATCTGGACCTTCATGGAGAGTAACCCGGAGATGGACCTTGTTCGGGTGAGCATCCCTCGGATTACTGTGTGCTTGCTTGATGCTAGAGAGGGGAGTTTCTGGTCACTTTCCCAATGGTGACTGAGACGGGAATTCTTACATTTAACCAGGATAGATGTAGTAAGCACAGCTCCAGCTGCCGGGGATGGTGCACAGATAACGCTTTCGTGCACACCCGCATCCATGTGTCTGGTGGTCAAAAATCCGTTTTGCAAGAAACTTAGTGAGGGTTGGTATTGGTGATTGTAGGCCCCTGCCTATTGTCATTTCTGGTCCTGAAGCCAACCATGGCGTCTTATTTAGCCTTCCTGTATCTTGGTAGGGTCTCGACACAGGTGTGGGGGCAAAGGCCTGGCTCCTGGCTCCCGAGGCAGCCACCATTAAGGTGTGGAGGGGAATTGCCCTGAGTGCTTCTGAGCCACTTGAAAGGGATAAGTGCTCTAGAGACAATTAGATTCAAAAGCGGAGGAGTCTGAGCAAGAACAGAATGTTTTCTTTGTATGAGCCTGAGTGCCATTTAATCACATCATCCCTGCCTTGGGCTGAGTCAGAGAATCATTAGACCATTTCCTATCTCCGTGGTGAGGGAGGCCTCTTTCTTTTGTTTCTGCTGCCATTAAGAAGCAGGAATGGATTTTTACCAGGTTTCTTGTCTTGACACCTCATTGATCAGAGAGGGCTGCTGGGTTTTAGAGGTGGTGCCTGCTTGGAAGGTACTCTCCCAGGCTTAGGACTCCCCCTTGATGCCCTGGGGGTGGGGGTGGGGTGAGAAGTGCGATACCCAGGGGGCCTTCCAGTGATGGGAAAGCTGGAGTCATCTTTTTACTCTAGTCCTGTTCCATATGCAGAATTCTTAAATTGGGGCCTTTAAAAACTAAGGGACTTGGGTGAGAAAAACATGAACAATAATTTGCATGGATATATGGAATAATTCCTGACTAGTAATAACAACTCATGCCCTTCAAGTATGGGTCTCTGTTGGGCTCCAGTCTCTCCTCTAGAAGGGATTCATGTGATCCAGCCACGTACAGTGCCGTAGACGTAGGTGTGGTCTTGGGCCTCTTCTTACTGGTCCTATCCTTGGAATCCGATTTTTACTTGTTGGATGTCTTCTCCTTCTGTGTCTCAGAAGATTATGAGGGGTCCTGTTGAAGAGAGGGGTCCATGTGTTTTGGTCTGTAGGCAGATAGATGTTTCCCCTATTCTACTGATAATTGATTTTTAAAAAAAAAATTTAAGATTTTTATTTATTTTTTAAGTAATCTCTATATCCAGTGTGGGGCTTAAACTCAACCCCAAGATCAAGTCACATGCTCTGCCAACTGAGTCAGCCAGGTGTCCCTTATTTTAAAATTTTTAATTGAAGTATAGTTGACATAAAATATTAGCTGCTTCCCCTACTCTTAAGTGGAGAGTTTGGCTTGGATGCTCCAGCAGCACCTAGCTCCCAGTGTTTAGAGGACAAAGCTCTTATAAACATGGCCACAGCATTCGTTAGTAATTCTGCTGGCAGAACCCAGGATGTGCAATAGGAAATGTAGGAACTGTGGCTGGGGAGGAAGGCATGGCACGGGACATAGTTTGGAGGGCCTTGTGTATGAAACCAAGAACTTTTACTTTAAGTTCTGGGGGACCATGAACAAGTTTTAAGCAAGGAGAGATGCAGATACATTAATCTGATAACATCAGGTGGATTGAAGTATGGAAAGATGGAAGGCAGAGACCAGAATGGAGACTAGCCAAGTGGGGGGCCAAGGCTTCTGCAGGCGGTGAAGCCTGGTGGCTGCTTGATTGTGGAGGGGAAAAGATTTCTAGCAGGAGGATGGTGGGGATGTCCAATAGGCCAATGGGTACTGAGGCCTGGAGTGCAGGGAGGTGGTTCAGCTGGAGACACTGACTCAGGGCTCCTCAGTCTATGGGTGGAAGTTGAAGGAGCCTCCTCAACTGCTCTCTTTTCTCTCTGAAGTAGTGTTTCTCTAAGTCCACAAGCTTGGGCTGCTCAGTCCTCTGTACCCCCTACAGCCTCGTGTCTGGTATGTGAGGTGATGCCTGAGGCTTCTGCTTCTTTGGGGGTAGCTCTTGTGTTCCTTTCATTTTTCAGCTTTATTAAAGTGTAATTGACAAACAATTGTATATACTTAAGCTGTACAACATGTTTGGATATAGTATACGTTGTGAAATGATCAACACAATCAAGCTAATTAACATATCTATCACCTCACAAAGTAGCCTCATAGCAAATTTCAAGTATACAGTATTATTTTTTAAATAAGATTTACTTATGGGCACCTGGGTGGCTCAGATGGTTAAGCGTCTGCCTTCGGCTCAGGTCATGATCCCGGGGTCCTGGGATCGAGTCCCACATCAGGCTCCTGGCTCAGCGGGGAGCCTGCTTCTCCCTCTGACCCTCTCCCCTCTCATGCTGTTTCTCTCTCGCTCGCTCTCTAAAAAATAAATAAAATCTTAAAAAAAAAAAAAAAGATTTACTTATTAGAGAAGGAGAGAGCGTGAGCAGGGATGGGGCAGAGGGGGAGGCAGAGGGAGAGGGATAAGCAGACTCCACACTGAGTGCTGAGCCTGACACTGGGCTCAATCCCAGGGCCTGGAGACCAGGACCCCAGCTGAATATCAGATTCGGACGCTCAACGGATAAGCCACCCAGGCGCCCTGACAGTACAGTGTTGTTAACTACGGTCATTTTGCTGTGCATTAGATCTCCAGAACTTAACTCATATTGCATAACTGAAACTCTGTACCCTTTGACCTACCCATTTCCCTCACTCCCAGCCCCTGGCAACCACCATTCTGCTTTGTGGTAGCTCTTATCTTTCTGCTGTTTCCAGCTGTGTTTACGTGCACTGCATCACCCCCCAGATCAGGAGGCACCTCTCTGTTGTGTCACGAAGCCCACTGACACTACACTGTTCTCCTTTCTGAGCTGCTCTTTGCCTCCTTCATCGCAAGACCCTGCTTTCTCCCTGCTTTCATTCCTAAGGGCGATCTCAGGTCTCTTGAATCCCCTCAAGTACCTTGGAATGGCTGTGTGATCAGTGGTCTCATTGGACACATCTTTCTGGTCTTGCTGCCTTCCTGAACCATATTGCTCAAAGCCACACGGGGCAGGGCAGGCCTCACCCCAAACGCCATGTGTCTTCATTCAGCTCTTACTTGTTCCGAGTCTCCAAAGAAAGCCATTTCGGAATTGCTAACCCATACCTCTGTGAACTTTTTTGAGATAAAAATTTGTATCTGTTAACAAAAATACTTAATGTGTCTTACTGATGATAGTATAAATTGTTACTCCCTATAGGAAAGCAATTTGGGATGAAAATTGCAAGAGCCATAAAAAAAAGTGCTAACCTGTGTATCTCCATTCCGTACACCCTCAGGGATGTACCCTACAGAAATAATTTTAAAGAGAAGTCACTGTATGAGAGGAAATGTTATTGCTATAATAATTGTTATTGTGAGAAATTAGGGGAAAGATTTATGCGATCTGAAGAGAAACCAGCGTGTTGTTATTGTGAGAAATTAGAAATAAGCTAAATTCTTAGCAGTATGGGAATAGTTAATGAAATTATAGTATATATACTCTATAAAACCATTATGCTCCCATTAAAATAATAAATATGAAGCCACATGGGGGAAAAACTTAAATTGTTACTGGAAATAAGACGGATTTAAAAAGTAGCAGTGTTTGGCTCCTTAGAGATTCCATTTCAGTAGAACCAGAATTTCATCTCTCCCCTTGAAGCTGTGACAGGTGTTACACCTGCTTCTCCTTTTCCATGAGCTGAGTTGGAAGCTAACCCACTTTCCTGGCAGCACCTGTGTGGGTTTCTGCCCCAGCCCTCTGGATCTACTCGTTGAACACCAGATTAGTTTGTCTTTCTCTTCCATGTTGACTCACATGGGAAACAACCAGCCAGGGAACAAGACATGAAAGACAGGCCTCTTCTGCATCATAACCCATGCATCCTGCAATTTTACTTGGTTTTATCGTGGCAGCATGTTCCCAAACTAAACAGCACAAGTGGGTTTGTCTTAATTTAGTCTAGAGATAAGGTCATGAGGAGTCATCAGCTTGAGTCTCAAAAGAGGAAGACAATATAATGTGGGGGAAGGTACGGTAGAATCAGAATCCATGTTTCATACCCTGGCTTTCCTATGTATTAGCTGTGTGACTTTATGTTAGGGACTTGACCTTTCTGAACCTTTTTCCTCATCTGTAAAAATGGGAACTTTTGGACAGATCTTGCTCATGGAGTTGGGTGAAGTAAAACATATAAATGATCTAATATAAAAATTGTGCAGAGTAAGTATGATCATTGTTGTTCCTGCAGTTGATACTATTAAGCTAGGCTGGAAACATGGACTCTGGATTCAGACTAGTCTGACTTTGAGTCTCAGCTCCATGTCCTGTTAACATTATGACTCAGCCTTGGTTAAAATCATACTTTAAAAAAAAATTTTTTTTTTAAGATTTTATTTATTAGAGAGAGAGAACACAAGGCGGGGGGAGGGTCAGAGGGAAAAGCAGACACCCTGCTGAGCAGGGAGCCTGGCGTGGGACTGTATCCTGGGACTCCAGGATCATGACCTGAGCCAAAGGCAGTCACTTAACGGACTGAGCCACCCTGGCGCCCCTATACTTTTTTTTTTTTTCAACCTCGATATTCTTATCTATAAAATGGGAACAGTGTTATCTACCTCACATAAAAAGGTTAGGTTTTGTAAATCGTATAAGACTTAGGATCTAGACTGAGTTGGTGTTTATTGATTGTACTTTCTCGTTGGAATGGCAGACACTGTTGGACAGCAGAAGCAATGACCACTTTTGGGAACAGCAGTTGGATGGCTTAGACTGGACTGCCAAAGATATCCTGGCATTTCTGGCCAAGCACCCAGAGGATGTCCAGTCTGCTAATGGCTCTGTGTACACCTGGAGAGAAGCTTTCAATGAGACTGACCAGGCAATCCAGACCATCTCTCGCTTCATGGAGGTGAGGATCTGTTCCATGGATCATTTAGAAGAGCCTTTGGCTTCTTTCTCTGAGGTGGTGCAATAAGGTTTGGATTGGAGGAAAGTTTAGAAATAATGTGTAGTCTTATTTCCAGTAGTATCCTTCAAACCTGTACAGAGTGTACAGAAGGCACTCCTAAATGTTAGTTGAATGACTGAATGAATGAATAAATGGACCTAACTCTAGCTTTATTCTCTCTGACTGAGAAGTGTTTCTGTCCATTGTCTTCTAGGTTTTCCCCAGGTTTCATAGCTCAATACCTAATGTCAAGAAAGCATGCCCTTAAAAAGGCTTTATTTATGAAGTTTATCTAAGAACTAATAGGACACATTATATTTTAAAAATCTAGTTTTAAAAATTATGTGACTTAATAGGGACAAATAAGCGTTTTTTGTTTGTTTGTTTTGTCTGCTTACTTGGTTAGTTGACACTCAAAATTGCCAAGAAAACAGAGGAAAAGGAGGTATGATCCTTGTTTCAACCTCTTTCCCGCCACAAAAATCCATATAAGTAACTTATCTCTAAATACTTCTAGCATTTCTCTTAAGTTGTAGTTAACAAAAGGATCCATTCTCAATCGAATATTGGAAAATGACTTTGGAGAGGGTGAGGATAAAAATGTCACGCAGTTAGCACATCCCTCTTAGGACAGAGCCTGCCTTGGGCACTGCGTGTTTTCCTGGCCCCCAGCGTTCTCATGAAGGCTCTTCTTCCGTCAGTGTGTCAACTTGAATAAGCTCGAACCGGTAGCAACAGAAGTCCGGCTCATCAGCAAGTCCATGGAGTTGCTGGACGAGCGGAAGTTCTGGGCCGGTATCGTGTTCACCGGAATCACTCCTGACAGTGTGGAGTTGCCCCGTCATGTCAAGTACAAGATCCGAATGGACATTGACAATGTGGAGAGGACAAATAAAATCAAGGATGGGTGAGTTCAGTCTCCCCACACCAGCCAGTTTGGGGGAAGTCAAGAGCAGCTAAAATGACTAGAGGCACTTTGTTTTAAGTAATAATTTGGTAGAAATTTCACCCCAAAATAACTCCAATTGGTGGCATGATTTTGGTGAAAGTGGCACATTCATTGCTAGAGACAGTTATTTCAAAGGTCATAAAATAATCATCTTTTGACTCAGCATTTCCGCTCAAGAGAATTAATCCTATGGCATTAAATCAACAGGTAGAAAAGAAGAAATAAAGCCTTCAGGTTCCCTGTGCTAGCATTATCCATTTTTACAAAAAGGGGCAAACAGCTAGTAAAAAAGGGAATGATTAAGCAAATTTTGGTATGTCCACTTGATGAAATGTTAGGTAGCCAAGGAAGGGGAAAAAAACCAAACCAACATTCTGGTGGTGGTATGCTCATTCTCATTATATCTGTTTAAAAATATGTGATTTCACTCATATGTGGAATATGAGAAATAGGGCAGAGGATCATTGGGGAAGGGAGGGAAAGCTGAATGGGAAGTCATCAGAGAGGGAGATAAACCAGGAGAGACTCTTAACTATAGGGAACAAACTGAGGGTTGCTAGAGGGAAGGGAGGTGGGGGGATGGGGTAATTGGGTGATGGGCATTAGGGAGGGCACATGATGTAATGAGCACTGGGTGTTATATGCAACTGATGAATCATTGAACTCTACATCTGAAACTAATGATGTACTATATGTTGGCTAATTGAATTTAAATTAAATAAATAAATAAAAATATGTGCACAACTGAGACCATAAAATAAGATATAAATATATAAGATGAAAATAGGGGCTCTGTCATGGTGGTGGGATTGTGGGTGATTGGCTTTTTTTGATGTATGGTTCTAAGGAATATTTAGTCACCTGTGATTTGGTTTTAGGTACTGGGACCCCGGTCCTCGGGCTGACCCCTTTGAGGATATGCGGTATGTCTGGGGGGGCTTTGCCTACTTACAAGATGTGGTGGAACAGGCGATCATCAGGGTGCTGACGGGCACCGAGAAGAAAACTGGTGTCTATGTGCAGCAGATGCCCTACCCCTGTTATGTCGATGACATGTAAGTTACCACCGAGCCGCCATCTTCACGGAACTGGGTAACACTGTTCCCAGAGAGAGTACCTACACATACATACTTATACACACATGCGTGCACATACATCCAGAGGAGGAGATAGGATGCTTTGATTTTATGTATTTTACATGTGTGTTGATAGAAAAAAATCTTTTTTGAAATTCAGTGAAGATTTTAGGAAATAAGATGCCAGGTGTAGGTCGTTGATGGTTCCAGCCACATGGACACACATGTGCACATCCTGGAATCCTCCCTCCTTTTTCATCTGTAGTTACCAGTGCTTCTATTTTTTACATATCCTGCCCTTTTGGTCAAAGTTTGCTTAGTCTGCAAATTTCAAATGTGTCGTGACAAACACATGCAAGCACATACACACACATACATCCCCCAAACACAGAAACAGTGATCTAAACCTATAAAAGCTGCCTCCAGGTCCGTTTGTCCACTTACTCTTTATATGTGGTAAACTGCATTTTGAAACAATCTAAATAAAACTGAACAAGGCCTTTTTATCTTGGACTTTAGATAATCTTTCAGTGCTTAGTCACTAAGCTGACAAGATCTCGTTGTGGAAACTGTGCTTTTGGATCTAATGATTTTTTTTGAGAGAGAGACAGAGCGGGGGAAGGGGGAGGAGGGGCAGAGGGAGAGAGAGAATCTTAAGTAGGCTCCACCTGGGTGTGGGGGCTTGATCTCATGACCCTGAGATCACAACCTGAGCCGAAACCAAGAGTCAGGTGCTGAACTGACTGAGCCACCCAGGCACCCCTCTAATGATTTCTTGTGAGCGAGCATGGGCAGAGGTGTAGTTGCAGGCATCTGAGATATGTAATGTCTCTTCCAAATTCTGGAAATTCTCTCATTCTCCATTGTGGTGTATGTGTGTAGGGATCAGAGTGTAGAAGGAGTGGGGTTCCTCTTATATTTGTTCTGTGTTTTGCACTGAGCAGCTGTTTCCTTGCGTGGCTCGCTCTGGCTTTTCCAAGTCACCCTGAATTATCTTGTTTTTCACCTTCAAAAAGATTAGCCAGAGTTTTCCCAAGACCCCCCTCAGCCAAGATTTACTCTAGAAAGGATGTCTTAAGATGGGAACAGGAGGGAGCTTAGCGGCATTAAGGGCCTCTGCCTGTTGTCACATGGCTGGTAGGTGCCTAAGTAGTAAAGCTGGGACTTGGGCCTGGGCTCCAGGGTCCAAATTCTGTCCTTTTTACTTCACGGCCCACTGCCTTTCCTATTTCAGTTTGGAATCTGAAATATAACTGACAAGAGCTGCCTGAAGTCTATATCTGCATTATCTGTGATAAAAGTTGAGCAAGGCAGTAGGGACATGACCTTGGAGAAGTTGAACTATTGTGAGAGAAGGAGTTGGTTTTCTTGTTTTTGTTTTAGTACTTTAAAATAACGCACACCTCACAGTTACCTAGTGACTAAAGCAGGCCCCAAAGAAATTGTACTTGGCGGCACTTTGTTGGTCTAACTGTTAATACTACATTGTGCTCCTCATGAAGCATTTGATAACCTGTATGTTTTGGAGTCTGGAGAGCCTGCCCCTCGTTCACTCAGTCTTGGGGCTTCCTCTTGCACGCAGGCCCCGGAGGCAGTGGCCTCCGAGCCTGAATCTCACTCCCTGTAATTCTCCTCCGCCCTTCCCTGGGCCTCCAGCTTCCTGCGGGTGATGAGCCGGTCCATGCCCCTGTTCATGACGCTGGCCTGGATCTACTCCGTGGCTGTGATCATCAAGGGCATCGTGTATGAGAAGGAGGCGCGGCTGAAGGAAACCATGCGCATCATGGGCCTGGACAACGGCATCCTGTGGTTCAGCTGGTTCATCAGTAGCCTCATTCCTCTGCTCATGAGCGCCGGCCTGCTTGTGGTCATCCTGAAAGTAAGGCTGCCACCCTGGCTCCCTGCTGCCCAGGGACTCCTAAACAGCCCAACACAGGCTATGAGGAGAAAAGCAAAGATTATTTGGGAGGGAACGGGTCAGACGTGTCCTCTCCTGCAGTTCCCTTATTCTGTATTTGGGGAGAGTGAGAGTGACTTGCCCAGGGTCAACCCAGTTGGCTAGCGGCTGAGCAGGGCTAGAACCCAGGGCTCTTGCTTCCCATGTAGGCACACACGTGTGCCATGACATTTTCTGGGCAGTGGTTCGTGGCAGCATCTGAGAGCTGTTCATTTCCTTAGATGTATTGGGTGGTGATTCTGCCAGAATTTCTAAAAACCATAATCAGAGGGATACATATTATTGCAGGTTAGGTTTTTCTGGCAGCAGAGGCTGAGAGAGTTTGGTGCGGGGCTTATTACTCAGGATCAACATCTGTGGAAGGGGTGGGGAATGCGGAGGTTTGAGCATGGGAAGGAGCTGTGAGATGCAGTGCACGGCCAACCCCACGGGCACTTGGGACCATATACAGCTCACCGGAATTGTGCCTCATTGAGCTGAGCTGTCCAGCCCCAAGGCCTCCCTCCCTGACACCCAGACCCTGGGCCCCTCAGTCAGTTATTGGAATCATGAGCCCCCGGGCCAGGCAGCTTTCTGTGGCTGTGACAGACCCAGAGGAGGTTGACATCTAGAGGTTGTCTGCTGCGGCAGCTGGGCAGCACGTTCCCCCTTCAGGGGGACCCCAGGCAGTGCTGTTCTGTGCCACCCTATATGTTAATAGGTTTATATGCTAATCTCCTTTCCTTACAGTGATTTGTTTTAAGGAGGCATCATGTAAAAAAATATTTTCAAAGAGAGGGAGTATGAAGGGTGAGGAACTAATATTTAGGTTAATACTAGCTACTGTTAATACAAATGAGCACTTACTGATTGCCAAGCACTGTTTAAAGCGCATTCACCTGTGCTTTCTGATTATATCCTCACTAACCCATTTAACATATAAGGAAATGAGGCCAAGGAAGGTTAAGGGCTTCCCCGAGGTCACCCAGCAGTATGACAGAGTGAGTCTCGCTGAAATCAACCCCCGCTCATGCTCTGATATCTGACTGCAGGGGTGGAGCTCCCTGGTTGGGGTGGTGGTCCTGTGGCTGGCGGGGAAGAGCTGCTCTGCGACCACGTGCTGGCTAGTCCTCCTCAAACACACCCAGATGAACTGGCTAGAGATAGACTTGAAAGGCCCACAAGAATTTGGATGATTGTGAGAATGCAGAATCCATGGCAGGTCATCAAGGGGGAGAATAAGATTTCTTGGCCCTTTTCCATGACCTTTGGAGGGAGAAGTCCTATAGGATGCTGTCGCCCACAATTCTTTCTTGGTGCTGAGAGTCCTGGTCCTTATAAAAGGAGACACCAGGTAAACAGTAATTCTTGGAGAACCAAAGAACAGAATTGTCCATTGAGTTGAACCTTGATGAATTTCAGTCCCAGACTCTTCTCTTCCTGCCTCCACTCTTACTAGGCTGTGTGGTCTCGGGGTAGTCGTTATCCTTACTTAGGCTTCAGTTTCCCGATCAGAACAATGAGCTGCACTGCTCCTCCCTATTATCTCTCAGATGAGTATGAATAAACTCTTCTTCCCATAGATCATGCGAGGACGTGTGTGCTTGTTGAGACAGCACGTTTAATAGGTCTCTTCCTTCCCAGTTAGGAAACCTGCTGCCCTACAGTGACCCCAGCGTGGTGTTTGTCTTTCTGTCCATGTTCGCCGTGGTGACCATCCTGCAGTGTTTCCTGATCAGCACACTCTTCTCAAGAGCCAACCTGGCGGCAGCCTGTGGGGGCATCATCTACTTCATTCTCTACCTGCCCTACGTGCTGTGCGTGGCATGGCAAGACTATGTGGGCTTCACGCTCAAGATCTTTGTGGTGAGGAACCACCCCTGCGTAGTAACTGCACGCACAGCAGCCCCTGGCGCTTCACCTCCCCTTGCAGTCCAAGCCGAGAACGGGAAATGAGTGTGTGTGTCTGTGTGGGGGGGTGCAGGATTGCTGAGCCTTTGGGGCGTCTTTGGAAGCATAAAATTCTAAAAGTTTTACACTCTGTCATGCATGCATTTCTGAAATGTGTGTGCATAATGAGGGGTTATAAATAGAATCCTTTTCTGTGCTGCTAGTGAGCCCACTCCCCTCAAGGGATCTGTAGGTGAATACTTCCATATCTTGTAATTGATCCATTTTGCAAATTCAAATTTCTCTCGGTGAAATTTATATTAGAAGTGCCAGAAAATGAGAGACTAGGAGATGGATAAGATGGAGAAGTGACTTTTGCCTCTTTCTCACAGAGCCTGCTGTCTCCTGTGGCTTTCGGGTTTGGCTGCGAGTACTTTGCCCTTTTTGAGGAGCAGGGCATTGGGGTGCAGTGGGACAACCTGTTTGAGAGCCCCGTGGAGGAAGATGGCTTCAACCTCACCATTTCAGTCTCCATGATGCTGTTCGACACCTTCCTCTATGGAGTGATGACGTGGTACATCGAGGCTGTCTTTCCAGGTACATGGGGCTTCCACACAGCTTTAGCCATCAGCTGGGGAAAATGTAATTTCTAGCTGCCAAGCTCTGCCCGGTCTGTGGTGGAATTTCTGTAGGGCCTGGGGCTCCCCGGAAAGTGGCTAGGGCTTTAGACCCACGGCAAGCCCACAGTCTGAGGAGAAGCAGCTGATGCTGAAAGTATTACTGCTCCAGCTCTCATTTCCTGAGCCCTGTGTGCCGTGCTGTATCAAGTGTTGTGTAGACTTGGGGACTTGCTCTTAGACCCACTTTTTTGCAAATGAGAGAAGCAGGACTCAAGTAGCTTGCCTGTGGACACACAGCTGGTCAGTGTTGGTGCTTGGGGGTGAACCCAACTGGGTCACACTGGGTCAGCTAGTCTAGAGGGTTCCTCCTTCCAATGCTGGCCTAATTCTCTAATTCCATATCCCCAGAATGAGCCACCGGCAGAGGTTCTGTTTCCTGAGTACAGCTTGTAACGAGTAAGATATGTTGGCTCTAAGCCCTTACCTGTGATTTAATCAAACTAACATTCATGAAAATTCTTTTTAGTACTTCCCTTAAGTAAATCTCCTTGACCAAGACCTGCCGTGGATACGTGTTTATACAGATCAAATTCTAAGAGAGTGAGGTTTAACTTTTTCTGCTTCCCCTGGTTTTCCTCTAAGGGAGTGTATGTGGAATGTTCATTACCTCTACTTGAGCTTCCTGCATTGATAGGCAATTTTGTATCCTACAGATCTGGGTTCAGATTCTGAGTCCTTCCATTTACTGTCTGAGTGACCTCAGTAGGCTACTTACCCTCAGTTTCCTCATCTATAAAATGAGTGGCTGATAACCTGCCTCGTGGGGTTGTTTGAATGCATAGTAGGTGTCAGCAGATGTGAGCTCCCACTACCCCCACCTCCATCCCAGGGTGGTGTCACCTCCAGATGCTGTGTCAAGGAGGGAGTAGTTCTGGCTGGGATACCTCGGGAATGCTAGGATGTTGCTGTGCTTGGCTTCCATCTTGGTTTTTATCTTCGCTTGCAGGCCAGTATGGAATCCCCAGGCCTTGGTATTTTCCTTGCACCAAATCCTACTGGTTCGGTGAGGAAAGTGATGAGAAGAGCCACCCTGGTTCCAGCCAGAAGGGAGCATCAGAAAGTAAGTGCTGTCGACCTGCCCTTCCCTTAGCCTAAGTGCTGTTGCCCCCACTGACTGTCAGGGACAAAGGATGGCTTTAGCCCTTTAGAGAGTCTGGAACCACTCTAGGAGCAAAGAAATCACACACAATGCATCTTTCCAAATTCTCCCATGCCATTCGTGTCCAGTGCTATTGTTGACTTATCGGGGAGTCACTCTCTTGGTCCCTGAGGGCCATTGCCTTTGTTTTCTTGGCTTCTAGGAAAGAGGCCCTTGATATCTATACATTCACCCCTCCCACCCCCCCCCCAACACACACTCTTTATGATAAATTAACAGCTAGGAAGAGGGGGTAAAGACAACTGTGATTGAAGAACCATAACCTCGCTGCCCGCCTTGTCATGGTGATGGAAATATGAGCCTGTGTAGGCTGCCACTAAGTGGCTGTCAGAGCTCAGCCTGTGCTTCTTGATGTTCTCACCCTTCATTATCCAGAGCCCTAATCCTCTCCTGGCTCCTGACTGTAGGTGGAGGTGCCCACAGTTTAGCAAAGGCTCTGCCTTCTGGGCCGTTTGCTCTGGTTCTTGGAGAGAAACTGTTTTTGTGTTCAGTGTGGCTTTCTAAGTACTTAATGAGTCCCTTTCCTGCTGGTCTCCTCTGTGCCTTCACCTGGTTGCCAGTGGAAAAGTCTGCTGTTCTTAGGCATACTGGACAACCTACAGCCAGCCCTTGCCCACTGTCCCAGCCTCTTCTCCTGCTCTTCCTGCTCTGCTTGCCCAGTCTCCTCTTTACACCAAGCTTCTGTGTCAGTCTCCTAGAACACGTTCTGTTCTTCCACACCCCCATGCCTTTGTACGTACTCTGTCTTCTCACAGGAGAGCTCTTTCTCCAACTTGCCTGCCTTCCTCCTCCTTCCTCAAGATCTAATTCTGTACCTCATCCCTGAGTAGTCCTTCTAGATTCCCAAGTAGTCAGTCAGTTCCTCCTCTAAGATTGCATGGCATTGAAAAACAAACAAAAGGCTTTTCTATTTAAAATAATTGTAGACTCATGGATGTTGCAAAAAAAATAGTATTGGGAGGTTTCCCTTGTGCCTTTCATTTCCATTTCCCCCGATGGTAACATCTTGCATAACTACAGCACAATATCAAAACCATGACATTGACACTGGTATAATGTGTAGACCTTCTTCAGATTGTAGAATTTTACATGTACTCATTCACGTGTGTGTGTTTAGTTCTGTGCACTTTGTCACACCAGTCATGTAATCACCAGCTCAGTCGAGATGCAGAACTGTTCCATCCACACAGACTCCCTCATTCTGCCCCCTTAAAGCCACCCCCCTTCCTCCCCAGTCCCTGATACCTGTCAGCCACTACTCTGTTCTCCACATGGTATTTCCAGAATGTGATATGAATGGAACCATATAGTATGGAACATTTTGAGGTTGGCTTTTTGTCACTCAGCATTATTCCCTTGAGATCCATCCAAGCTGTGATGCATATCAATAGTTCACTCCTTTCCATTGCTGAGTCGTGTTCCATGGGCTGGGTATTCCACAGTTCTACGGCATTTTTAGATGTGTTTTTTAAACCGCTTTTCGCCTCCTGTATTTTGATTCCTTGTCAAGTCTTTTTCTCCCAATAGACTGTGAATGCTCCTTTATCAGTGAATTCCCATCACCAACACTCTTGCCCAAACAGGCCCTAAATAAATGTCTGCCTGAGAAACCAGAAGTATGCGTGGTGAGGGCAGCTGTGGGAGTACGAGCCCAGCCGCCATGTCTTTGTGCCCCACTCGTCGGTATTTGCCGTGGTTCATGCCCATCCTCTGTCTTCTGTCTCCTGACAGTCTGCGTGGAGGAGGAGCCCACACACCTGAAGCTGGGCGTGTCCATTCAGAACCTGATGAAGGTTTACCGGGATGGCATGAAGGTGGCTGTTGATGGCCTGGCCTTGAATTTCTATGAGGGCCAGATCACCTCCTTCCTGGGCCACAATGGAGCTGGGAAGACCACCACCATGTAAGAAGAGGGTGTGGCTGTCAGAATCAGCTGCGGGCAGGTTCCGTAGCGCAGTTAGAAGTCAGGATGCAAGGGCATTGTGTTGGTCACGGGGGCAAGGGCAGCGCCGGGGAGGAGTTGACGAATGTAAGATATTATCTCATCACAAGAGTGCTTTCCCCACGGCTGGTTTTGGCTAGATATCTCCTCGGCCTGAAAACAGCCTGGGAGCCCTCTTGGTGACCTTTCCCATTTGGTTCTCAGAATTCTGCACTGTTCCTGGAACCCTAAGGCTGTGACAGCTCCGAGAAAGGGTCTCCCTTTTGAGCTGGTTTGGTTAGAACTATGAAGCAAGAATGTGGGGAGATTGGATATGTTGGAGGGAAGTAGTGATTTCCAGGAGCTCTGTCGCTAAGGAGGTGTGAGACCTGGCCATGTGACTGCCCTTTCTGGGACCTACAGGGACCTATAAAGACGTTATGATGGGTGACTTCACGAGGGAGAACGGGCCATACACGCCAGAGTTAGCCTCAGTGACTTTTATTTTTATTTATTTATTTTTAAAAAGATTTTATTTAATTTTTTGAGAGAGAGAGAATGAGAGACAGAGAGCATGAGAGGGACTTGTTTGCTTTGTAGGGGTCAGTTCGGGTCTGTTAGGAAGGAATGGGGGTGTAGGGGGGTTGATGCCTCTGCTGCAGGTGCCCGGGCTCTGCGGCCTGGTGTGGAGCATTTCCAGGGGAATGGGGATAACACTGACTCTTGCACTTGTAAATTTTTGTCTTCAGGTCAATCCTGACCGGGTTGTTCCCTCCCACCTCGGGCACTGCCTACATCCTGGGAAAAGACATTCGCTTTGAGATGAGCACCATCCGGCAGAACCTGGGGGTCTGCCCCCAGCATAACGTGCTGTTTGACATGTGAGTACCAGCAGCACTTTTGAGAAGCACACCCTCCCTGGATGTGTGTCATGAGTCATGGGCCGAGGGGGACTTAAGCATTCTGCCTTCTGTGGGGGTGGCGGGTCTCACCTCCCTGCACGGTGAGACCCGGTCGTCCTTCCGTTTTAGGAAAAGTAGGAGGTGACTGTTGGGTGAGAGGTGTCCCATCAGTCCAGCTGGTGGATGAGGGCGTGGGAAAAGGTGCTCTCCATTACTGACACTCTAGAGGGCCAGTTAGCCTGTCTGCTCTCCCATCACTCTCCTCCCTGGCACCAGCTGCAGCTCTTAGCCCAGAGTTGGCAGTGCCTCGGGGCCCTTGTCATGATGGCCCAGCATTTCCTGCTCAAGACATTGCTTCCATTCAGGTGGGCCTGTCAGCAGTTCAGGCCCCCCAGGGAGCCCTCGTGGGGGAACAGAGAAAGACCTGGGCTCTGTGACCTTGGGCAAGGGCTTCTCCCCTTCTGGACCCCCGTCTGCTCTTCCCTAGAGCAAGCAGCTCAGGCTCATGTCCTCCATAGGGGCCTCCCTTCTCGCACAGTCTGAGTTCCTGGAGGGGGCTCCTCCAGGTGAAAGCCGAGCCAGCTTCTTGGTCGATGGTCGATTATGGGGTGGGCCCTTTGAGGACCTGGATTGAAAGTTGCAACTGCCTGATGTATGGTGGCCAGGCCTGCTGGGAATAGGCTGGAAGGGACCAGTCACATTTCAGCTTTGGCTTCTTCATCATCTCCGGTGGTTGCTTACGGTTGTTCTGTCTTGATTCTTCCCATTATTTTTCAGAAGTTGAGATAGTTAGAAAAGGTCGGGGTGGGGGGCAGTGGAAACATGCCCATTTTCTTCTGTTGTGGGTCAGGAAGCACTGGGTTCTGATGCAGCCCGTGCGGTGCAGAGCTGACCTGCCCTTCTGTCCCCAGGCTGACTGTGGAAGAACACATCTGGTTCTATGCGCGGCTGAAGGGGCTCTCGGAGAAGCATGTGAAAGCAGAGTTGGAGCAGATGGCCTTGGATGTCGGTTTGCCACCCAGCAAACTGAAAAGCAAAACAAGTCAGCTGTCAGGTGAGTCCCCCTCCCCCCGCCCCCAACACACACGCACGAGAAACAACAGCTGTCCCAGTGTCCCAGTGTGGGGGTGGGGGGGTAGGTCAGAAGTGTGTCCCTGACTTGTCCCCAGGTGGGTGCCTCTGATTGTCTCTCAGCGCCTCTGCCTTCGCTGTCTGGGGCTGGTCCTGGAACGTCTCTCTCTCTCTCTCTCTCTCTCTCTCTCTCTCTCATAGGCGGAATGAAGAGAAAGCTGTCTGTGGCTTTGGCCTTTGTTGGGGGATCCAAGGTTGTCATTCTGGACGAGCCCACAGCCGGTGTGGACCCTTACTCCCGCAGGGGAATATGGGAGCTCCTGCTGAAATACCGACAAGGTAGCTTGTGTGTGTTTATTTCGAGGGAGGGAGGAATGCAGGGGCTCTTGAGACGTATGGCTGCAGCCGTGGCTCATGGCTGTTCTTCACAGAGCAGCAGAATTGCTTCTCAGGAATGTGCGACTTCTTTTCTTAGAGCTCTGTGCTCACCCGTGGTCTGGATGTGGAAGGAAGACCTGGCTTACAAGACACTTAACATGTATGCCCTTCATTGTCTAGGGGCTGGCAAGAAGAGAAGTGGGGATAAAGGGCATGGTCCCCAGAGCTACTTCTAGCATAGAGCTTGGACATGTCTGTTACGACTGTGTTCCCCTCTAGACCGATGGCTGAGAACAGAGGCTATGTCTTTGTTCATCTCTGTCCCCAGCATGATACACAACATATGTTTGTTGAAAGTGGGGATGGGCAAATGAGGAACATGGACTTCGGAGCCAGTTCCAGCTGGCCCTGAGACCTTGGAAAAGTCATTTAACTTGTCTCCGTTTCTTTACCTACAATAGTAGTAGTGCCTGCCTCATAGAAGCCTTAGTGAAATGAGAATGCATGCAGACCGCCTAGCACCCTGCCTGGCGTGTGGCAGATTCCCGAACGAATGTTCCTGTTCTGATTTCTGTGAGGATGGCTTTGCCACACAGGCTTCCAGATTCCTCTGCCTCAGTGACCCCTGCGGATAGATCTGTCGTGGCAGCTGCTTCAGTCCCTGAGAACCAGGAGGCCTCACTCGTCCCGTGCCCTTGTGTTTGTGCCTGGCAGGCCGCACCATTATTCTCTCCACGCACCACATGGATGAAGCAGACATCCTGGGGGACAGGATTGCCATCATTTCCCATGGGAAGCTGTGCTGTGTGGGCTCCTCCCTATTTCTGAAGAACCAGCTGGGAACAGGCTACTACCTGACCCTGGTTAAGAAGGATGTGGAATCCTCCCTCAGTTCCTGCAGAAATAGCAGTAGCACTGTGTCGTACCTGAAAAAGGTGAGCCGTGTTTTCGGTGCTGGGGGGCGCTGGGCTTGTTGGCTGGGAGTGGCTTGTCCACTGGCTTGTCCATGTCCACCCCACTCTGCCGCATGGGGGTCACCATCTCCCTTGGGAATCACATCATACTTCCTGTGTGGAAAGCGCAGGACACATCTGTTCCTGCAGTGACCGCGTGGTTGGATCCCACTTCCTTCTTCCTGTGGGGACTTTATTAGAGTGAAGAAAAAAGACTCGCCAGGAGTGACGAGCCCGAGCTGCAGAATGCTCTGTCATTCCTGCTCATTCCCTTTGAATCTCATTGACCTTAACTTCTAAACTACAAAACAGCAAATATTTATTGAACACTGATTTCATGGTGGACACGCTAGCAGATTCTGGGCATAAAAGAAAATGACAGTACTAGTTAATTTTTTTGCAGCATCGTTATCATTTATAAACTTTTCTTTTTTTTTTTTTTTTTTAACTTCCTTCATCTCGAAGTGCCGAACAACAGTGGGAGGGAGGTATTGTGATTATTATCTCAGATTAGGGAAATGAGGCTTTTAGGCCAGCGAGCAGGTAAGTAACAGAGGTGGGACCAGAACCCAATAACCAGGTAGGTTTTCCTCTGTTCCACTATACATGCCTGAGATCCATTTGTGTGCTGGAACCAGTGGCACCTAAAACATTTACGTCCCAGCCTTCACCTCCCGTCTGCTTATCTACTTTTTAACTAGTGCCTGTTACTCCAAGTGTGGTCTGAGGACCAGCAGCACCGGGATTACTCTGGAGCTTGTTAGAAATGCAGAAACATGGGCCCAGCTCTCAGACTCACTAAATCAGAACCTGCATTTTAGCAAGGTCCCCTGGTGGCTCAACATAAGTCAAGGCTTGAGAGGCACCGAGCCAGATAACCAGGCAGGTGAATCCATGCTAGGAGGGTCAGTGGATGCCTGGCGACAGCGTTCATCGCTGGCCCCCCTTCCGTTGTGGCTGTGCTCCCTGACCTCCTGTGCACACAGCACACGTGTGTCAGCAGCTTCCGAAGCCACGGCCGCCCCGTCAGTTGCCTCCCAGGAGGAGCCACGCAGTAGGGCTTCGTGGAAGCCCGCCCTGGCGAAGGTGCTGGTGGCTGTACCTTGCTCGGTCCCTGACCCATTCTCACCTCCTTCTTTGCCATCAGGAGGACAGTGTTTCTCAGAGCAGTTCTGATGCTGGCCTGGGCAGCGACCATGAAAGTGACACGCTGACCATCGGTAAGGACTCTGGGGTTTCTTATTCAGGTGGTGCCTGAGCTTCCCCCAGCTGGGCAGAGTGGAGGCAGAGGAGGAGAGGTGCAGAGGCTGGTGGCGCTGACTCAAGGTTTGCTGCTGGGCTGGGGCCGGGCGGGGGTGGGGGGTGCTGGGAGAGGGTGCAGCTTGGTGGCAGATTGGCTTAACGCTTGCTGGGGGGCTCGGTGTGGGAGTTGGCAGGGCAGTGACCCCGAGAGGCTGACGTGATTGGGGGTGGGGGATCTCCTGGGGAATGGATCTGGCTGGACACTGGAGACCAGGGTGAGGTGCTGAGGGCCAAGCCATGGGGGAGGGATTGGATCTCAGTAGCTAAGGAGAGAGAGAGCCCAGGAGACGGAGAGCAGTCTGCTGGGTCCTCCTTTGGCACAATATATAGGACACCAGTGTCACCAGTAACACCTGTGGAGCAGAAGCCTTTACTGTGTCCATCGGTGCCCAGTCCTAACAACTGTCTTTTTCCAGAGAGATGTCTTCCTCCACGAACTGTTTGATTAGCCCTTTATTGACATAAATAGAAGGAGCCTCGTTTACAGGTTAGGGAAGGGTGAAGAATCGTTTAATTTTCCATTGCTCAGGTCTTCCATTGAAGACTCCTAGAGTTCAGGCAATAGACACAGGCTTTCCACCTCTGAAAGTCTTCCACCCACCCACAATGTACTGAGAACCTACAGTGTTCCTGGCTTTGGTGAATAAGACCTAGTCCTTGCTCCCAGGAACTCTCAGGCCAGAGATGAACATGCGGAAAGACTTAAGTATTGGGGACGGGTGTCCTGCGTGGACACCTGGCTTCTGAGGGGTAGGCAAAGGGAGAAGGTGAGGCATGGCTGGCCCTTGATGTGGGGGGCCTCTGAGCCGCCTGAGCTGTCCTTGTGCTTTGGTCCCTACAGATGTCTCGGCCATCTCCAACCTCATCAGGAAGCACGTGGCTGAGGCCCGGCTAGTGGAAGACATTGGGCATGAACTGACTTACGTGCTGCCCTACGAAGCTGCCAAGGAGGGGGCCTTTGTGGAACTCTTCCATGAGATTGATGACCGGCTCTCAGACCTGGGCATCTCCAGTTACGGCATCTCGGAGACAACCCTGGAAGAAGTACGTTCAGTGACTGACTGTCCGAGTATAGCAGGTCCCACAGTCCCAAGGCCAGACAGGTAGCCTGCTTTTCCCCCAGGGGAATAGGATTACCATGGAGCTGGTCATTTGAGGCCTTATATCATTGATATTGGGGTATTACTGCCATAGTTAACCCTTTAAAGTGGTGGGAGATGGCAGGAGAGCTAGATTAGGATTGCTCCCTGACATGGCTGTGTCATGGCCATGCGTAGGAAATAGCCAACATTTATGGAAAATCTGCATGTGCCTCGTGCTGACCTGGGTGTGTGGGGGTTTTTTGCTGTTTTTTGTTTGTTTGTTTTAATTATTGTAGGGGTGCCTGGGTGGCTTAGTCGGTTAAGTGTCCGACTCTTGATTTCAGCTCAGGTCATGATCTCAGGGTCGTGAGATCAAGCCCTGTGTCAGGCTCTGTGCTCAGCGCGGAGTCTGCTTGGGATTCTCTCTGTCTCTCTCCTTCTTCCCCTCCCCCCCATTCATGCACACTCCCTCTCTTTAAATAAATAAAATCTTCAAAAAAAATCATTGTAACTTAATATTATCCCTATAATAAGATGAAAAGGTGGGCACTCAGGGATGCCGAGCTAGGATTCAGCATCGAGGGTTTGGGCTACAAAGCCCATGCTCTCTCTACTGTGTAGCAGCACCTGCCTTTAGAGACCACAGCATCATAGACCTGGAGGGCTGGGAAGGATACAAAAGTTGTCTGGCCCAGTGGTCCCCAAGCTTGACCAGGCAGAGAAATCATCTGGGGATATTACTGACAATAAAAATTCCAAGCCTCGGTGCCAGGGTCTTTGAATGAGAATTTCTGGAGGTAAGACCTTAATGTCTGTGCTTTTATTACATGCTTTCCAGGCTGTGGTCTGTAGTCCAGAGTTTAGAAATCATTGGCTAGTTCACATTGTCTTACGATGTTTGAATCCCTGATATAATATTTCTAGTAATGGGAAGCCCATCATTTTTTGATCATTCTGTCTTGGATGACTTAGCATGGTGCTAGCCTACTCAAGAGATTTGGGGGCCACAGACCTGGAAGGAGCTACCTTACGTGTTCCCTGTAGATACAGAACACATTTCTTCTGTAGTGTTCTAATGTCAAACCTTTAATTTGAAAAAGATTGTCTGGATTGATAGTTCTCACTACCGGGGAAATGTTCTCTGGTTAAAAATGCCTTCACTCCCAAATGACTGGCAAAGTATTACTAATAATTGAAGCTTTTACTTTTTGTCTTTAGGGGCTAACAAGCCACTCAATAATGTAATAATCATGGCGGTGATGATTGCTTTCATCACGTGATGCTTACACTATTCTCACTACCGTTTTTTCAGATATTTCTCAAAGTGGCCGAAGAGAGTGGGGTGGATGCTGAGACCTCGGGTAAGCCTCGGGGGGAGCTGTATGCTCTGGGAAGTGCCTCTGTAGGCCATCTTAGCTCACCAGTGTTGTCCCTTTCCCTTTGACTTGAGGAGGGCTTGTTTTGTTACAAATAAAATAAAATGTGGAATTCCTTCCTTTTGTCTGCAGATGGCACCTTGCCAGCAAGACGAAACAGACGGGCCTTCGGGGACAAGCAGAGCTGCCTTCGCCCATTCACTGAAGATGATGCTATTGATCCTAATGATTCTGATGTAGACCCAGGTCTGTTTGGGCAAGATCTGTGTTCCATTGTTTGAAAGTGAATTTCTTGTCTTGTGTTACTCCCACGTTACCTTTTAACGGCCTTGAGCGTGGGATAATAGATGCCTACAGGGTCCAAAGGGTAGTGGGATGATGAAAAAAGCCACATTTGCTTTTCCAGCATTGGGCAAACCATAAAACCTGAAGGAGCCCATCCTCATCACTTTTTTCATTTAGTTGAGAAATTTCACTTGAGACACATATAAAAGGATGGTCCCTCAGTCCTCTGAATCCATTTTTATCGTTTCTGTGGAGACCCAGTTTCTTGCCTAGATAAGGTATTTAATTGTTGATGAATGATTTTGAAATAAGTCAGTTTTTAGAGCTAATTGTACCTTAGACTTAGATATTCTGGATGAGTGTGTCCCTCTGTGTTTGACTGGGATGGAGAATGGAAGACAAGAAGTCAAGCAAATCTTGGTAAAATGTGAAAGCGCCTCAGTTAGGAATCATTAGTTTAAGACAAGGATTTTTATACGATTTTGAGGTACAGAAACCTTTCTCCCAATCCTGCTCCTATGAGTGTGTGGCCCTCATGTTTTCCCTGATTTCAGACATTGTCTGTACTTAGATCATTTGAATGTGTCTATTTTTACCAAAATAATAGATGGTAGACAAATCAGCATTGTCCGTTCTCAATTATGTCAGCCTAAATGCATGGCCTATCTCATAGAATATTTTATAAGAAATTGGGGATGACTTGGTTCATCTGAATGACTTGATGTACAACAGTTTTGTGTGAATGCTTCTCTTCAGTTGTCTCAAGGCACCTTCATTTTGTGCACTCCTCACATGAGGACTGGAAGGCAGAAAGCTCTACTGTTGGACATCTGGGGTCCTAGCTTTTCCTGGGACATTGATTTGTCATGAAGGCCCTTGACTTCTGAGAGACTTTGGCTTTCAAACACAAGCCTCCAAGATGGTTGCTGAGGATGATGGAGGGCGGAGCATGGTGAGGTCAAGACTGCCTCAGATACTAGGTGACCTTCAGTGTTGGCTTCTTGCAGAATCCAGAGAAACAGACCTGCTCAGCGGGATGGACGGCAAAGGCTCCTACCAGGTGAAGGGCTGGAAGCTCACACAGCAGCAGTTTGTGGCCCTTCTGTGGAAGAGGCTGCTGATTGCCAGACGGAGTCGGAAGGGATTCTTTGCTCAGGTGACAAGTGCTGCTCCAGGCCAGTGACTCTGGCTCCCCGGGTGGGCCGCAGGCTCCCTGACCAGTGCAGGCAGGGGAGGGTCATGGTTGTGAGGTGGAGCTGGAGCCAGACTTTCCGTATTTCAATCCCAGTCCTGCTTCCTGCCGCTCACGCATCTGCGGGCGAGTTACTTCTCTGTGCCTCCGTGTCCTCATCTTTAGAATGAAGATAATGTGCCTATGACATAGGGTTGTTATGAGGATTAAAGTGAGTAAGTGCTTAGAATGGGGCCTGGCATTAAGTCGTGCTGTGCTCTGTGTGTGTGTGTGTGTGTGTGTGTGTGTGTGTGTGAGGTTTATGGTAGAGGACAGCGTAACAAGGACAGAGTTTAGGAAAATTGGCTGGGCAAATTCAGTTTTCATAAGCTGAGATGCACTTGACATATAAACTTCTTGGAAACATGACTTTTCTCTAAAGTGATGTTTAACTGCAAATTGACAGAAAGGTAGCCGGAGAGGTCAGAAAAAAATGGGCAAACAGAGAAGACTCCTTACACTGTTGCCTGCATGTCAGTGTTTGCATGCTAAGTTGCTTGGTCAGAAGGGATAAAATTATCCCGCTGTATAAAATCGAGAAGTATAGAGAAAGTGTCTGTAGAGATTCTTCCCTGCAGACTCTGTGGGTAATGCAGGGAGTATGAATTTGGAGCATGCAGACCTGGGTTGGAATTCTGGTTCTGCCACTTATTGGCTGTGTGACCTTGGGCAAGTTGCTTCGTCTTTCTGAGCTCAATTCCCTTGTTCGTTGATTGGTGATAGAGTTGTAACGATAATGAAATGAGATGATTGTCATAGAGTATTTTCCCATAAAGAAGGATTTGGGTGATGACGCGTTTTGAGGCCATCCCATGGTGACGGCGGACGCTGTCCCCTTTCAGAGCGTGGGGTCTGACTGGGTCGCTTAGTCTTGGTCTGTAGATTACAAGTGAGAGGCCGCAGCGGGAATGACTTCACATGGGTACACTTGTAGTAGGACAGAACCAGGCTTCGGGTCTTCTGGCTCCTGGTGCAGGGCTTGTTCTCTCGGCCTTTCTCTGAGCTGAGCCGGGCTCATGGCTCATCGTGGTCTTTCTCAGGTCTTCGGTGGGAAGAGAGCAGGACCCAGAGTTCTGAGTCCCCCTGACATGTGGCCACTGTTTATATCTCTCTGAAGTTTTGAGCTTCGTGCCACTGCGAGGTGTCCACAGCCTCTGGCCTTGTGCTGCCAGCCTCCAGAAATGCCCTGGAGGGAAGAGGTTTCGGTGGCAGGATCTGCTGCTTCCCACCTGCCATGAATGCCTTGGTGGAGCTCTGTTCTGGGTCCCGTGGTGCTCACTTGCATGCTGGCTGGGCTGGGGAGGCTGGCTGGACTCTTAGGGGCTTGCCCCAGGCCCCTTTTTCTGTCACTTGGCCTTGTTTTGCCACTTCCTTTCCCCCTCTGTCCGCTGGCTACAGATCGTCCTACCAGCTGTGTTTGTCTGCATTGCCCTGGTGTTCAGCTTGATCGTGCCCCCCTTTGGCAAGTACCCCAGCCTGGAACTTCAGCCCTGGATGTACAACGAACAGTACACGTTCGTCAGGTACGTGTTTGCTTTCTGTGCCCTGGAGAGAAGAGAGCTCAGGCAGACTGAGGGTGTTGACGCTGCTGAGGGCCAAGGGCAGGTGGACTCGAGAATCACGCGGTGGAGTGGATTTTATCAGCTGTTCCAAAGCCCCGACACAGACTAGTATCGTATGCAAAGAACAGCAGGGAATTGAACCTCCACTGACAGACCCGTCCTCTGTTCCCACTTTTGAGCTCCTTTCTTTTTATCCTACAGTCATCAGGAACAGGCATCTGTGTTTTACGTAAATAATCTGCCCTTGCAAAACATCTATGAGGAAGCTATAGTATTTGGGCTTTTCATAGCTGTGTCTTAATTTTGTCGCTTCATCCCAGGGCTTCCGAACATGGGCACGGCATCATACCTCCAGGTTCTTGTTTGTCTGCACGGTACATTTCATGTGTTTATTACGTCACAGATACGGCGGAGCGAGTGTTCTTTAGACACGGATGCCAGCTACTCTGTAACAATCCAGTGCTTCAAACAAAAGCACAAAGGAATTTCTCTACTTCCTTCCACAGAAGTTTTCTTCAGTCTTGTAGTATTTGTAGACCTTTAGATGGGGAGAAGCATCTCCGTGATGTAAAAGGGGAGCTTTAAAAGAAACGAAAACAAAAAATACATAAGCACGTGAATTGGTTCTTCCTTCTCTAGCCCCATGTTTCTTTCCTGTCTGGTTCAGGTTTCATGGAAAACTGTGAAAGTATTTTTGAAAAACCGATCCTTAATGAATTTCTGCACATTAAAATACGTGTAGAAATGTGCGTGGCTGTTTGCACATGTGCGCACACCCATTCATTACAACCTACACAAGCTCAGAGGGCTGTCCCTTACCCTGATCCCAAATACGCAGTCAGTGTCCGCTCCTTTTGGGTAGGTTTTGTGTTTTATTCATTTCTGATAATGAGCGCCTGGCATACCGGAAGTGCCTAATAAAGTGTTCAGTTTAGAGAAACAATTCCACCTCCCAGTTCCTGGTTTTAATGAATTGCTGAGCTGGCTGCTGTCATGTACCCACAGTAACGATGCTCCCGAGGACACGGGCACCCAGGAGCTCTTGAATGCCCTCACCAGACACCCCGGCTTCGGGACCCGCTGTATGGAAGGAAATCCAATCCCGTAAGTGCCCCTTGAGCCAAGAGACCCTTGACAGCTGGGTTGTCTTATGCTTGTCACCCGGGTTTGTTGTCTGCTCTATTACCTTTATCAGCTGTGATAGATGCCCCTCGTTGCGACTAGTATCATTTGTCCTTCGAAGCATTTTTTATTTTTAAAAAGCTGATTGAGTAATCTAACCAGAATCTAGGAACAAACAGAGCCGACTAGGAGAGTTTTCTATCATCCTGCGGAGTAAAATCACTGCAGACATTTATTTACTGCTTTAGAGATTAATATTTAATTCAGATAGCACTTTGTACTGATCAAATGCTTTCCCCTTCTTCCTTTCTATCAGCTCCTGTACCTAAAAGCAGAGATAGGCTGCCATTATATATAATTTGCAGTTTGGCTTATCAGCTTCTTCACTTTACCAACCTGAAAAGATGTTCTATATTATTGTGTATAAAAATGGACTTTTTCTTCTTTTGGAGTTGCATATTTTTGTACTTCCCTTCAAAATCCTTTTTAAGGAAGTAGGTAGCGTATGGATAAATGCAGTGAAATACCCACGTGTCTCTAAGTGGGCATGGGGGGAGGTGTGTGTGGAGGTCTTTGTGCATAAAGACCATGAAGAGAGGTGAGTTTCCAAGTGAACCGAACCATGACCCACGAAGGTTCGAGGTTCCAGGCTCAGGTAGAATGAAGTTCTGGCTCAGTTACAGCACAGACTCGGAGGAATTATGGAGAGTGTGGGAAGGCATAGGAAGATTGGAGAAGGACTAACTTGAATTCCAGGTTTTAAATGGAAGATACTAACTTTGCAAGTGACAGACCAGTGAGTCTGGTACCTGGGCATGCAAGGTTTCAGAGCAGATTTCTAGACAGATAGCTACCATGTCCTTGCCAGCTCTTACTGCTGAATATTTACTAAGCATTTGCTGGTACTGACTGCTTCATGGGTGGTAAGCCCTAGCAGCCAATGTCCGTTCCTAAAGAACAAGATGACCGTTATGGAAAAGGACATGGAGACATCGTCTCTAGAGTCACAGGACTTCTGACAAACCTGCATGTTTTGTAGGTGAGGTAGAAGAATGAAATGAGGTGGATTTATTATATGCCCGCTGAGCGGTGTGGACTCAGAGAAGTGCCAACATGGGGGGAGCTGGGTCTGGGCTCAGGGCTAGCCTCCAGAGACAAAAGAGGTCCAGCCCCTGCCGTCAGGATTCACAGTGTTGGGGCAGAGCGCTGCTGCATGTGTGTGTGAGGGGCGGTGGGACGGAGGGGCCCCACTCTGGCAGCTTTTCCCAAATTCACATTCTAGGTTTTACCAAAAGGAGTAGACCTGAGGGAAGTTTGACTGGGACATTGACTGTGGCATTGAGCTTTGTCTCAGCCAATCATCTTGGGAAGGTTTTGGAGTGTGAGTGCCATGTCTTACTTTGACTTTTCCATCAAGTCACGGAGCTTTAGAGAGAACTAGAGAGCAGTCCACAAATCTGTTCCTTTGATATTTTTAGCACGTACAAGAATAACATAAAGAGTGTGGCTATGCATTGTAGAATTTTGCAACTGGAAGGGATGCTGGAAATGACTTGTTTAGCATGACATTATGTACTTTTATTTTACTGGTGGAGAAGATAAGACCCACGAGGGCAAGCATTGTGTTGATGGTCCACAGTGATTCAGAGCTCAAGTCAGGCATCAAGGCCTTGTGATGCTTGCAGACAACCTAGCTCTTCATGTACTGAGCACCCTCACCCCATCCCCTCCAAACCCCAATTCTGTACTCATTTTAAAGCATAAAGTGAATCTTGCCATCCTGCCCCAGATTTACAGCACATTGAGCATAACATGCAGACTCCTTCCCAGGCCCTGGTCATCTGGCACCTGCCTCCCTCCACCCTCAACTCCCATCACTCTCCTCCCTACCTCATCCCACTCCAGCCACACTGTCCCCCTGCTGTTCCTCAAACATGGAAAGTTCACTTCTTCTGAGAGACTTTGTACCTACACTTTCTATTGCCTTTGCTTGTTGTGTTCTTTCTCCCCAGATCTTTTCCTGACTCCTTTCTAATCGTTTATGTCTTGGAAGAAGGCAGTAGTCCCTCTTCCCCCGATTCAATGTCCTCTTATTTTGCTTTATTTTTGGCTAAGTGACCTTTGCTTATTGCCAAATTCCTCTCCAGAAGGCAGGGACTTTGTCTTGTTCACCCCAGACTCTCAGATATGCAGAACAGTGTCTGGCACATAGTAGATGCTCAGTGAATATTCGCTGAGCGAACACAGGGGCAAGAGACCAAATGCCGGCAGATTGGATTGACTGGAGTTTGGTATATGAGCATTTAGGGCCTCTTTGTGTTCCTTCATCCTTAACTGTAAAGTGAGTTTGCAGCTTACAGGTCTGTGGGGAGATCAAACAAATGGTGAGGGGATGGATAGATGCATGTTTGTGGCTGTTATTGATTGGTCTGTGCTCCTGAGGCACCAGGAAAGGCTGCGTCCTCTTGGGTGATGCTGCCTTTGCTGCCCTCCCTTTGCAGAGACATGCCCTGCTCGGTGGGGGAGGAGGAGTGGACCACCGCCCCCGTTCCCCAGACCATCACGGACCTCTTCCAAAATGGGAACTGGACGATGGAGAACCCCTCACCCACCTGCCAGTGTAGCAGTGACAAAATCAAGAAGATGCTGCCCGTGTGTCCCCTGGGGGCAGGGGGGCTGCCTCCTCCACAAGTGAGTCACCCTCCGAGTGACTGAGCAGATGGCGGTGCAGGGGGGCTGGGAGCTTCTGCTTGGGAAGAAGGAATGGCTGACCTCTCCTGTCAGGGGGTTGTCTGATTCAGTCTTGATCTTAATTCTTATCATAGGGAAAGGCCTGTGGGTTTTGAGGGGAAGGGACTTGGTCTACAAGTTCCTATGTCTTAGCTTGTTTGTCTACTTTGCAAAGTCAGCCTCGGTTACTTACTTGTTTGAGTTAAAACCAGATCACAACACTCTGGATCAGTGGGCCGTGCAAGGCACAGTCTGGCTTCTCCCACTGAGGTCATGTCACGGAATATACTGTGACAGGCCCGGCTCCCTCCCTGGTTCTGCCAAGGATGAGCTGGTGACCTCAGACAGGCCACTCACCTCTGAATTAGGGAGGCTGGCCCATAAAACTTCTGCGGGTCTTAAGACTCTGACATTCTCTGAGGCTGTGCGTGGGGGGAGCAGTTCTGAGCCTTTTTTCTGAGAACAATTTCAGAAAGAGGCTTGCTTGTGATCTCCCTCTGTTGCTTTATCAGCATCTGGGTTGCAGGGTGAGGACAAGCAGTTGTAAATGGGTGTGAGAACTTGAAGAAGTCCTGGTTACTTCTCTTTAACAGAACAGTGAATCTATTCATCAGTATAAGTCCAATGGACCGAAGAAGTCACTGGGCATAGTCAATGATACTGCTCCCTAAAAACCTTTTGACTATAAAGAATCATGTTCCACTGTCTATTGTTCAGTAGTTCAGAATAATTTCCTTGGGGACATCTTGGCTTGGCGTAAGTGAACGGCCGATGCTGAGGGCAGAAAGGACCAGGCCTCTGTGTTTGGCTGATGGCAGCACCTGGGCCCTGTGGGCAGGGTCTGGTCACACTGTGATCCACATTCAAGGGACATGTGTCACTGCAGTCCTTGATTTTTTTTTTTTTTTTTCCTGTTTCAATTGTGGCCCATAAAGACACTTGCGCTTGTTTTTTTTCTGTGATGACAGAGAAAACAGAACACTGCAGACATCCTTCAGAACCTGACGGGAAGAAACATTTCGGATTATCTGGTGAAGACCTATGTGCAGATCATAGCCAAAAGGTCATTATTTACTAAACTTGGCCCTTGCTTTTTTCAGTCCTGATTAGGGGAATTACGGGTCTAAAAATAGCACACTGATGGGGAAAAATACCAAATTTTGGCCTGATGTTGGCTTTTGGAAGTTTAGGGTATTCTCCCAACCTAGAAAAGATAAGTATTATGAACTTTAAGTTGTCAGCACCAAGGTAAGGCTGCCTGGTGTAATCACAGGGCTGTGCATTAGAAAAATTCTGGAGATCAGATGTACAGTATTATGATTATAGTTAACAATACTATATTACATACTTCAAAGATGTGAAGAAACTAAATCTTAAATATGCTTGCCACAAAAAAAAAGAGGTGATGATTTTAGGACATGATGGAGGTATCATGGTAATCATAATACCTAAATACATCAAATCAAACTGTTATACACCTTAAATTTCCATCGTGTTCTATGTCAGTTGTATGTCAATAAAAAAATCTCGATTCAAATTTGAATTCTACTTACCATCTGCTTTACCAGGAGCAACGAGTTATCCTTTAAAAAGTCTTTGTTTGTAGAGTATGTGATCCTACCATTGCTCTTATTATTTTGTTAGGAAGATTGAAGGACACTGATATATATAAAGTGCCTCTTGTGAATGGAACATGTGATAATGTGGACAATATGTGGCATTATGGAGCCCAGGTGGCCTGACGTGGCTGTGGAGCCTTGGAACAGCCCCAAAGTTTCCAGGGCTATCGAGGCACAGCGTTGAATACTTGATGCCCAGGAAATGTTTGTTCTGGTGTCCTTTTGGCTTGTTGTGCTTTTCTGTTAGGTGTTCTCAGTGACTTTAAATGCTTGAATGATAATTACTGTCGAGTTTCCGAGAAAGAGGCATAACCTTTCCATGTCCTCTGTAGTTGACATATTACCTTGAATTCAGTAAGTTTTGGGGCACCTGGCTGCCTCAGTTTGTAGAGCATGCGACCGTTGATCTCAGAATCATGAGTTTGAGCCTCATGTTGGGTGTGGAACTTACTTAAAAAGAATAAAAAAAAAAAGTTTTAGTTCAGTCACATCTTTGTCTATAAGGTGGTTTTTGAAGTGGTTTAATCCAAAGCATGATTTTCTTATAAATGACAAGGTTTTAAAATGGGGAGAAGGAAAGACCTGGTGACTGGGGTGTCCTTCTATGGGTACACCCCCCCTCCGCCCCCCCGCAGCCTGATCACGGGATTCTTTCTGTCCTGGCTTGTCTCCTCAGGTAGACAGTAACTTCTTTTGTGTTATCAGGAATAGGATCAATGTTTTTTTGAACTGATTTTTGGTTTCTTTTTCTTTGGCTTCTGCAGTTTAAAGAACAAGATCTGGGTGAATGAGTTTAGGTAAGTTGATCTCTTTCTGTGCTTGCTTGTATTTTATCTGGACTCCTGTAGTTCAGAAGGATGACTTTGATCCTGGTATCTCAGATCCCAGGAAGTTGGGGTGTGGGGATTGTTTTGCCCTTGGTGTTTCTTCTCAGTGCTCAGCTCCCACTTCAGATGCCTTTGAAATGTTTGGCCTTCTGATCCCCTTGAGGAGATTCAGCAGTTTCTTGGAGGTCTCTAGGGATTTAACCGGGAAGCACAGTGTTGTGAGGGAAATCCCTTATTCTGTTTACATTTCCTCCCCACCAAATCAGATTCCCAAGGGGGTCCTGGGGACTCCGGGACAATTTTTCAGGCCTTTATAATGAGACCAAGAAGGTCTTAGATGAAATAAGAGGCATCAAAGCTATCTATTTTCACAGTATTTGAACTCCTTTATCTCTCTCGGTTTTGAAGGAACCAGGTGGCACTAGGGAAGAAAGGAATGAAAAGCACTTGAAGCCAGTTGTACTTCCTAGAGAATGAGATGCCTTATATGGCTGCCCCAAAACTTAGCTCTGTCACTGCAGCCCACCTTTCCTCTTTGCCTTTTTCACAAGGGCTAGCACCCGCAGAACTCGGCACAGAGCAGATGCAGACTGGGACCCCTGAAGTGGCCTTCATGCTAGGAAGGAGCCATGGCCTGTCTCTAAGCCCTCCCTAGGCTATTCTGGTCACTGTCCTCCCCTAACTCCCCGTCTGCTTGCCTTGACACCCAGAGACCCACGTGCAGGTGCAGGCCGGGACCACCAGGGTGGGAGGAGGAGCATCTGTGAGGTGAAAGACCCTTCTTTCTTCAGGGTCTCAGCCATCTCACGCTGTGTGTAATCACAGTGCAGCTTCTTCCCCCTTGGGCGGGAACCATAAGAGTTAAGAGCTTGCCAGAAGTCCTCAGAGGAGGCCAAGATGCAGCTTTCTCCAAGTCTGACTTTGGTCTTGCTTTGAATAAGCAATTCCCCTCCATGAAGCCTGCACACATTCATGTGACATCTGCTGCTGAATGATACCGTGTACCACACTGTATTTTAACGTTAGGCTGTTCTTTTAGGTATGGAGGGTTCTCCCTGGGTGCCAGTAATTCTCATTCACTTCCTTCAAGTCAAGAAGTTAATAATGCCATCAAGCAAGTGAAGAAGCACTTAAAGCTGGCCAAGGTACGGTATCCATCCTAGGACATGTCAGAAAAATGGGCCCAGAGTTGCCACTCCGAGGGAGTGGTTGGCAGGTACATTTAATCACCTTGCCACTTACTGTTTGGAAGACTTTGAATCCAAAGCCATTTTTGGCATCTACTGATCTTGTGCCGGCCAAGACTGAGCTACTCAGCAGATATTTAATATCTGAAAACATAGGTCAAAAAAAAATTTCCGAGGTTTAAAAGCTCTCAGAATAACTTCACTTCATGAAGTAAATAAACTGGGCTTCAAACCCACTTACCTGAAACAATCACCGGTTAAAAAGGAATCATTTCCTTTAAGCTGGTGGCAGGACCTTGGAGGCTGTCCCTTCATTTCTCAGTATTTTGGGTTTCCCATTATTTAATTGAGAATGAGAGCTCCGGTGGCATGGATTTCAGGATGATGGGCATCCGCAGTAGTCCTAGAGTCTGTAACTCCGCTTTTGAGGCCCAGACCCCACATATCCGACGCATCTGCCCACGGAGCGTAGTTCTGGGTCTCGGGGACACCCAGGGGACTGCTTTGAAGAATGCTCACCACCCGGTTAAGCGAGACCTCTGCATCTTGGGACTTGAAGTCACACGGTGTCCCTGTGATTCTTTCAGAACGTGTGGTTTATGGCAACATGAATGCTTTAGATTTCTGGTCATCACTTATTTCTCGGGCGCCAGTCCTGCAGTGGTTTCATATCTCACTCGGGTGAACAAGGCAGTAACGATGTGGCCCTTCATAGGATTGTCCTGTTGCCCTTCCCTTGTGAATCATCCCAACTGAGGCAGGTTACTGTTGTTCACAGGACAGTTCTGCAGATCGATTTCTCAGCAGCTTGGGGAGGTTCATGACAGGACTGGACACGAAAAATAACGTCAAGGTGAGGCCCTCTGTTCCAGTAGATTCTTGATGAACAATAATTCTTAAGTACTTTCAGCTCATAATGTTGATAGGCGTATTCATGACAGAAAAGAGCAGACTACTGATTTTACCGTGGAGGCCAGACAGCGTGGTGGTAAAGAGAATTGGCTTTACCGCCAGACATACCGAGGGAACCGCTGTGACCTTGACCAAGTTCCCTAACCTATCTAAGCCTCGGTTTCCTAATCCAAGAAACCAAGACAGGAGTCATGCCTTAAAGCTGTGGTGAGGATTGAATGAGTTAAAGATCCGAGGTAGGCAGCGCGGTGCCTGGTCGTTCGGTCAGTGCTCCGCATACCCTGGCCTCTGTTAGGACTTCACCATGTCCTCCGACGCTAATGTTTCATCTTGGTGTACGACTGGCATTTTGAAAATGTGCATGCACACCTACTCCCAGGAGCAGGATTTGGAAGCATCACTTTGTACCTGGTGTCTTTTATTTTTAGGTGTGGTTCAACAACAAGGGCTGGCATGCCATCAGCTCTTTCCTGAACGTCATCAACAATGCCATTCTGCGGGCCAGCCTGCAGAAGGGAGAGAACCCCAGCCAGTATGGGATTACTGCCTTCAATCACCCCCTGAATCTCACCAAGCAGCAGCTCTCGGAAGTGGCTCTGTAAGCATGGCTGAGTCTGCCTGGGTGGGGCGAGGAGAGGAGAGGAGAGGCTGTTGGTGGAGCCGGGGGGTAGGGGAGGGAAGCGTGCAGCTGGTTGAAGAGTGCCAGCTGAGGATACAGTTACGTTATGGTAGGTCCGGGTGAATTCGGGTCCTGGGCAGAAAATGATCACTTCATGAACTGCTGGCAGGGATTAAACTGCAGAAGATCCAGGATTCTGATGGATCAAAAACCATTACCTTGAGTGAATTTATATAAAGTGACATTGTCAATAAAATCCTCAAATAATTTAACTCACGGTTAACACAGTCGTTCATAGAAAACCAGTTTTATTAGTTTTGAAACCACTGTTTCCTAAACTTGGTGAAGCATGCTTTTATCAGCTTGTCCTTTTAATTCCTGAATCAAGTGTGCGCGCGTGTGTTTGTGTGTGTGTGTGTGTGTGTGTGTGTGTGAGTGAAGTCTGAAGCCAGTATATCACAGTTTAAAGTGCGTAACCTTTGGAATCCTAGAGATCTGTGTTTGACTCTGGTTTCTAAATTTCTAGATGTATGGTGTTAAATGAGGCAATGCATGTAAATTGCCAAGTCCAGCACTCAACACATTGTTGATATTCAGCACATGTTAGATTCTTTCCTGTGTCCAGAGCGTGGCACAGCTATTTCTGCTTAGCTCATATAGGATATCAGTATATACCAATAGGATCTTTATACCAAGTTTATATAAAATTAATACATATAAAAATAGTTTGTTACGTCCTGTTTAATGGGCTTATAACTGTTCTCCTTTAATAGAATCTGATAGAATTTTTGCTATTAGATTGATAAGCACACACTATTGTTTTCACTTTTATTTACAGCCAGAAATTAACTTACTTGAATAGTTTCACACTAATACTTCTGCTTTATTTCATTTTCAAGGTACACTAGTCCTATATGTGTGAACATTTACAACTTAATGCTCTTAAGGGTCAAGAACAGAAGGCCAAAGTGAAGGCCAAAGTGAATGCCAGACTTCCTTTAATAATTTCATTATGGTGGGCGCCGGGCTGGCTCATTTGGTTAAGCGTCTGCCTTCAGCTCAGGTCATGATCCCAGGGTCCTGGGATCAAGTCCCGTGTCCGGCTCTCTGTTCAGCGGGGAGTCTGCTTCTCCCTCTCCCTCTCCCTCTGCCGCTCCCCCTGCTCATGCTCTCTCTCTCTAAGTAAATAAATAGATAATCTTTAAAAAAATAATTTCATTATGGCAATGGATTCTTTTTTGCCTCATTGGAATCAGTTTTGCATTTTAATTATCAGGGTTTTTTTAAATTGAAAATAATCATCTTTAACCCTGAATAAAATACATTTGGTCAGTGGATTTTTCCCTCTGGGCTATGCCTCACATCTCAGATCTCTGTGTGTGTTTGCGTGCATGTGTGTGTGTGTGTGTTTGCACGCGTGCGTGTGTGCACACACTCGTGCATGCACGTATCTTGCTTGAGTTCTCAACTGCATCGGTGATCCCTCATATCCTCACTGCCTTTCTTTTTCAGGATGACCACGTCAGTGGATGTCCTTGTGTCCATCTGTGTCATCTTCGCGATGTCCTTCGTCCCGGCCAGCTTTGTTGTGTTCCTGATCCAAGAGCGGGTCAGCAAAGCGAAGCACCTGCAGTTCATCAGTGGAGTAAAACCTGTCATCTACTGGCTTTCCAATTTCGTGTGGGATATGGTAAGAACCCCAGTCTGCTGCTGCTTTCTAAATCGTCAGGGCTGGGGACTGGATGAAAGAGCCTCTGGCTCCTGTAAAAGTGTTTTAGGTAGTCAAAGTGAATGAAAAAGGAAAGGCAGAGGCTGTTGTATACTCTCATGACACTAAATATGGTATCAAATACGGAGCTGATCTCACACCGCAGAGAAAATCTGTCTACACTGCAATGAATACCACTACCATCGCTACCACTAATTTCTTAAGTGACCACTTTTCAAAGTAACTTCGAGCTGGAAGACTCTTAGAACTCCAGTGCCTCTACCCTGTCTGGTAGGTTTTCACCTCCAGAAGCAGGGTGTTCTTTGCCTTAGTAGGAAATCCATCTTTCATTTGGAAACTCTATACATTTGACCCAGAAGCCTATCCATCCATTTCAGATACGGTTTTGTGCCAGCACTAACAGATTGCTTCTGTTCAGACCAATATGGAGGACTTCAAAGAATTCTGAAGTTCTAATTTTTGTAAAGTGGAGTTGAAATATATCTCCTTTGACTTCCATTAGTTGTAAGCCACACAGAATGAATTTAATCCTCCTCCCACTGCACAGCCCCTCAGGTATATGAAGACAGCTTTCATTTAACCCAAGTCTTCCCCGCATAAGATGATATATGAGAATACACTTTGTAATCTCCAGAGCACTATACAAATGCGAGTGATGATGGTGAGGATGATGTCTGTGCTGATTAGACCAAGCCTCTCAGACTTGTCACCCTTGTGATATGTTGACTTTCTGTGGCCATGCTCCACATTGTTAATGTTCCTTTGGAAAAGCCAAGCCCAGAACTAACCCTTCAGGCTCTGGTCTGAAGGGTTCCAAGTCTAGAGAGAGTTGATCTTTATCCCATACCTTCATCACTCAGCCCACAGGTTTTGCATGCAGAAGAAGCACTGTCTTGTTAGCAACTTGGTAGCGAACTGAAATTTCCATTTCCCAGAATGATTGGTGAATGGGGTCTCTTTCCTTCTACACGAATACAGTTGACTTTTTGAAACTTTATATTTATCCCTGTTACACTGCATCTTGTTTCCTATCCATTTGTTTTTGTTTTTATCTTGCCCCAGTAATTACTTCATTCCATAAACACGTACCGAGTGCTCATGATGTATCTGACTGTGGTAAGCGCAGGGGATTCAGAGATGAAAGATCAAGTCTGTGAACTGAGAGACCTCACTTAGCTACCTATGTATTATCTGTCACTTCCTGGTTTCAAGACTCTGAAATTTGCTAAAAGCAGGTCTTCATCTAAATTGTTGATAAACCTATGGGGAAGGATGGGACTGAGGCAGAGCCCTGTGGTCCAAAGCTCAAATTCTTTTAACAGCCAACAAGCCCACTCTCACCTCCCTGCCTGTGCTTTGCTCTACCAGTTATGAATTCTCATAATTGTCCTGTAGTCAAGCCTTTATATCTGCATTGTAAGGCTTGATACACTGTCAGGACAGACTTTAAAATTATTCTCAGTGTGATGAAACAATTCTGACATTGATGTTATGAGGTAAGCGCTTATAAATAGATGTGAGCTTGAACTTGGGCAGACTATAATATAGCATTAATTATAAAACACACAATCATCTCCAGGAAGAATCATGGAAGCTTATTTGCTGCCTGTGAAATTACAATTACTCTGACCGGGAATCCATCGTTCAGTAAGTTTACTGAGCGTGACACCTTGGCTTAGCTGTTGGAAAGATGGAAAGGGCATGCAGTTTATAAAATCAGCCAGGGTAAAAAGCTTGTCAAAATGTATTGTCAGTATTTTGGTGAATACTTTATGTGGCTTCATTAATTCAAAGTTATTCTCTGTTGGGCGCCTGGGTGGCTCAGTCGTTAAGCGTCTGCCTTCGGCTCAGGTCATGGTCCCAGGGTCCTGGGATCGAGTCCCACATCGGGCTCCCTGCTCTGCGGATAGCCTGCTTCTCCCTCCCCCACTCCCCCTGCTTGTGTTCCTGCTCTCGCTATGTCTCTCTCTGTCAAAAAAATAAAATCTTAAACAGAGAATAACTTTTTTTTTTTTATCTGCCCTTTCTTGTCCTGTGATGGTGAAGACTTGGGGTGTGTTGTGTCTTTGACTTAGAGGTAAACTCCATTTCCTTGTTCCACTTCTAGTGCAACTATGTGGTCCCTGCCACGCTGGTCATTATCATCTTCATCTGCTTCCAGCAGAAGTCCTATGTGTCCTCTACCAACCTGCCTGTGCTGGCCCTTCTACTTCTGTTGTACGGGTAAGGCACCTCTTGGGGGGTGGAAGGCATATGGTGCCCAGAGTCCGAGGGAAGGCAGGGGACACCCAGTGGACATTTGTCTTTGTGCCTTACCAGGTGGTCGATCACACCTCTCATGTACCCAGCCTCCTTCGTGTTCAAGATCCCCAGCACAGCCTACGTGGTCCTCACCAGCGTGAACCTCTTCATCGGGATCAACGGCAGTGTGGCCACTTTTGTGCTGGAGCTTTTTACCAACAATGTGAGTCCTGCAGGAAGAGCACCTCCTGCAGGGACGAGCCTCTGCGAGCCAGAGGACCGCACCACATCATGATCCTACACCACTTGTCTGTGGTGCTGACACCGCAGACCTCTCTGTCCTTCAGATTCTCTCCTCTCTGGGTTTGCGTAGCACCTCTTTCTCCTTCTTTTCCTTATATTTCTCTGATTGATCAAACCCTTTGGTTTCCATTGACAGGTTCTTTTGTACTCCTTTCTGTTTTGGTGCTGCTCTTCCCAATATGCGGTGCTCTGCCATCTTAGCTTTCCACTTCAGATGCGTCTCTGTGATGCTGTTCATTCCCGAGGCTTTTACTGACTGCCCTCTCTGTGTCTTACGTTGTTATCTCCCAGATCTTTGCCTTTGACCCTGATTGTTCCCTTGAACTCTCGGCTCACGTTTTCACTTGCCTAGCGGGTGGCTCCATTTGGGTTATTTCCAGATACCCCGGACTTGACCCGTCCTCCTCATCTTCTCCCTCAGGACCTAGTACTTGTCCTGCCATTCCTGTCACACTAGATGGCACTACCATCCACCCGGTCACCCCGGCTGACCATAGTATGGGCATCATATATACTTTGCTTTTGCTTATTTCCCACATTCAACTGTTTACCTTGTCAGTTCTTCCAATTGCATGTCTTTTTAAGGGTCTCTGCCCATTCCTGTTGGCATTGTCTTTGTCGAGACACCTTAACTTAGCACGCAAGGCCACAGAACTGTACGGCCCTTCCTGGCCACATCCCGCCACACCCTTTCCCGAGGCTCTGTAACTTCATCTGAGTTGGTTGTTCCTTAAACCCTCCATTCTCCTGTAGGTCTGACTTCCTTTCTCTCACTAACCCCTCAGGACCGCGCTCAACTGTGAAGCCTTCCTTTCCTGCCCTATGGGAGGTGCTCTCTCCGTCCCCAGTGCTCCCAAAAGCCCTCACTTCACGCCTCCTGTACAACACCTCTCCAATGATGCACTCATTTCCTCCAGAGTAGAGACTGTTTATTAACCTTTGCCCGCCCTGTGCCCTAGCACAAGGCATTCAGCCCACAGCAACGTAACTGTTGGATGTTTGGCCACTGGCTTGATGTACACAAGAAGAATTGTTAAAATGCCAACAAAATCCATTTGCTTTTGAAATGCTAAGCCAGTATTTTATTATGGATTTGCTTCTGATTAAACATAACCGTTTCTAAACTTTGCTCATAGTTCTCCACACTCATAGCATTACTGCAAATCCTCTAAAAAGGAAATTTTATTATGTTATATGTCATCAACTGTGGCTACCACTCTTATTGGTGTCTGAATTCAAAGGTTCAGTTTGACCCCAGGGAATCACATTTTTCTTCTCTCCCGTTACTGCAGACCTTGATATATTTTTAGCCTAAACCATAAATGACATTCAGTTTCTCTCTTACTATATTTTTCTTAGAAGCTGAATAACATCAATGATATCCTGAAGTCTGTATTCTTGATCTTCCCACATTTTTGCCTGGGACGGGGGCTCATTGACATGGTGAAAAACCAGGCAATGGCTGACGCCTTGGAAAGGTTTGGTGAGTGACAGCAGCGCTTGAGGGGCTTGCCTGGAGATGGCTGTTCTCGTGAGCCCCAGTTCTCCGGACTTTGGGTTGCAAAGAGGCTGGTGACGGGGACTTCCCACCACTGAGAAAAGGTTCATGACAATGAATCTGGATGTGGCATGGGTCTTTGGATAGAACATTCGTCTGTGTCTCAGATAGCATTGAGAAAAAGGAGAGGGGAGGTTTAGAGGTAAGGACAAAAACAGTGGCTTTATCCTGAATCCAGGGCATAATGCCACTGGTTGCATTTGTTAGCCACTGGAAAACTCAAAGCACAATTTGAGAATTGGATACAGGCCAGAGAATCAGAAGGAAGGGTGCAAACTTTGGCTCTGACGATGAGGAAAATCATGGGCCTTTTACACAGTCTATAAAAAGGGAATTTACTGCAGCTCTTTCTGTCTTTAGAGTCTTTAAAAATATTTCTCCTGTAGCCACATTACTATTCTTTATCCACTGGCTCATATAGCTAGATGGGCCATGTTATTTAATAGACATAGGAGAGGAACTTTTTTTTTTTTTTTCCATCTAGCAGGTACAAAGGAGATACATAAGGAATGTAAGGAATATTCCCATAAAGCCGGGTGATTTAATTGGTTCCCTAGGTTATATTATATGCTACTGAAAGAGGCATCTTTTTTTTTTTTAAAGATTTTATTTATTTATTTGATAGAGACACAGCGAGAGAGGGAACACAAGCAGGGAAAGTGGGAGAGGGAGAAGCAGGCTTCCCGCCGAGCAGGGAGCCCGATGTGGGGCTCGATCCCAGGACCCTGGGATCATGACCTGAGCCGAAGGCAGACGCTTAACGACTGAGCCACCCAGGCGCCCCAAGAGGCATCTTTTTAAAGTGCTCTCTAATCTTCCTTTAGTGAAACTTACAGTTTGCTAAAATACCCTAGAAGTTACCCTGGATTGCTTGCCTTTTTTAAAAAGGATTTTCGGCATGTCTCATTTAAAAAGGAAACATAAGATATGAAATTATAGGTCTAATACATGTTGATTCTGAAATTCTGACTGATAATGAGTCACAATATATTTTCCCAAAACCCTACCCTAAATCAGTCACTCCCTTAATTTTTCCTCCTTGTCATAGGCAATAACCATTGGTGTTTCTAGGAACAGAGGTAAATTTGAGCCTGAATTTGAGGAAGGGCCATGGTCTTTGGTGCCTCCATTCTAACTGGATCTCTGCATTGTGTCTACCAGGGGAGAACCGTTTTGTTTCACCACTGTCCTGGGACTTAGTGGGACGGAACCTCTTCGCCATGGCCGTGGAAGGGGTGGTATTCTTCCTCATCACTGTTCTCATCCAGTACAGATTCTTCATCAGGCCCAGGTGAGCTTTTTGTGAGAACTCATGGAGCATCTGGTTGAGGGTCACAGAAGAACATGGGGAATCACTGGTCAGTGGTGGTTGCACTGCATTCAACTTAAGACGATCCAGCTAATTTTCCTAATGTGGGCATTCTCAAGCCCACAGCACTGCTGATCCTAAAAACTGTGGAGAGTAGATTTAAAGGACTTCCTTAAAAATTGGATCTTTGTCTTGAAAAATACCTTGAAATACTGATTTTTCTTAAAATGTTTCTCCCAAGACCTGTAGATGCAAAGCTTCCTCCTTTGAATGATGAGGATGAAGATGTGAAGCGGGAAAGACAGAGAATTCTTGATGGTGGAGGACAGAACGACATCTTGGAAATCAAGGAGCTGACTAAGGTGAGGCATTACAGGCTGTAACAACTTGCCTTCAGTTTTTTTCAGCTTTATATGTTGGAAATGAGCATTTTTGCTGATTTGATTAATGAAAAGAATATGTGCATCTAGACCAAACTTCTATCAATTTAATTTTATTTAAGATACACCGAGAGGACTTCTTAATTAAAGAAATCCTACTGAGAATACTTCTGTAATGTTAAGTCTGGTTCTCAAGTATATTTGTTTCTCACACTTACATTTATGTGTTTGTTAAAACATACTAAAATTGTATATCTAGTCAAAGCCGAGGTAGGAAGAATAAATGGTTGATTTTTGAGTATCATGGTCTAAAAAGCTGGTATGTCTCTGTTGCTCAGGAGGACAGTTTGTTTCAGCCTACTCTAGTTCACTTTTTTATAATATGTACAATATTTGCAGTGTTTGGATTATACATTTTGGCCGTGTAGAATTTTTTTTTTTAATGTAGGCTCCATGCCCAGCGCAGGGCTTGAATTCACAACCCTGAGATCAAGACCTGAGCTGAGATCAAGGGTTGGACGCTTATCCGACTGTGCCACCGCGTCCCAGGTGTCCCTAGAATTTAATTTTTAAAATGCCTACAATATCAAGTAAATGAAAAATTATGTAGATATAAATGACCAATGTCTCTTAAAAAGGTTGATAATAGATTAAAAATAAAAAATTCACTTTTATTTTAAGCTTTTGAATCATTCAGACACAGAGACAGATCATGGCTCTTGGCATATCAAATATGTGACTTAGTTTTATTGATGAGCCTTGCCTTGTGGTGTGTTTGGGTTATAGTTCCCTCTTCCCCAGTTGCTTGCGATAGTTGTGATTCACTATGGCTCTTGAATTTTTGCATTTTGTTGGTTGCAGATATATAGAAGAAAGAGGAAGCCTGCCGTTGACAGGATTTGCGTTGGCATTCCGCCTGGCGAGGTAAAGGCATTGTCTACCCTGTACTTGGCCCTGTTAATTCATATTACCTACCCAATCAAACAACAATGTCTGTAAGGCTTGAAAGTTTTTAAAGCTTTCTCTATTTATGTCTATATGGAACAATCAGTCATTGAGAAGATGTCAAAAAGCAACAATTTTGGATAATCTCAGGCAGTTTAAGAAAAGAATGCACATCCAGAATGTGTCTTTGTGACCCATTCAAGATGATGAAATTCAAATAGATTATTTTTAAGTAGGTTTTTTCTTTTCTCGTTCATGTTTGTGTTCTTTTATGCCCTTTAGGCAAATTAGGTGGTGAAATGTGACTTGGTTGGCTTCCGTTACTGTTTTTTACACATTAACTTTGGCTTCAACCTGACAGCTCCAATAATATTTACAAATATGCTCAATATGTCTCATTATAAATGTTTAAATATCTATAAAGTTCTTAAAACCCCCTAAAATTTGACTCTTTATTGACATTTAAGAATGTTTTAGAGTCATGTCATCTCAAAACTAAGCTGAGGTGACTATTTTATAAGGGTTATTTATATTCAGATTATTAGAAGTTTGCTTAAACAGCTGACCTAATCTCTTTCAGTGCTTTGGACTTCTGGGGGTTAATGGGGCTGGGAAATCATCAACTTTCAAGATGTTAACTGGAGATACCACTGTTACCAGAGGAGATGCTTTCCTGAACAAAAATAGGTGAGAAAAGACGTGGACTGTATTTTGCCACAAAGACTTTTTTTTTTATTTAAATAAATATATTTTTATTTTTCTGACTATAACGGTACTATGTAATTTATAAAAAAATGTTGAAATAGATAAAGTGTAAAGACAAGAATAAAAATCATCCATAATCCCACTACCTGAAGATAACTACTATTTACATTTTTTTCTCCCAGTCTCGCTCTATTTTTTTTTTAACAGCTTTATTCAGGTATAATTTTACATAGCATATAGTTTACTTGTCTTAAGAGTACAGTGATTTCTAGTGGTTTCTAGTCGATTTACAAGGCTGTGCACTCATCACCACAATCCAGCTTTAGAACATTCCCACCACCCCCAAACTCTCTATTTTACACATATAAATGTATTGTAAAATTGAGATCATACTATATCTAGATTTTTGAAATTAGTTTATTGAGTCTAGTATGGACATTTCTTAATGGGTTGCATATTCTAAGATGTAGCCTTTGCGCTGCTGCCTAAACCCCCCCCCATGTACATTTATCTGCAGTTTATTTAATCACTTCCTTATTGCTGGACATTTATTAGTTTCTGTTTTTGACTATGTAAATATGTCCTTGCGTTCATCTTTTATTTCCTCAGGGAACATTCCTACAAGGTAAAAGGGTATATACTTGCCAAATTGCCCTCCCTAAAGGGTATCAATTATCGAGGCCACAATAGGCCATTATCTGAGAATGCACAGGTCACTAAGCAATCTGATCTTTAGGCGCACCTCCACTTTAGAGACCTATTAGGCAATGTTACCCTTGGGTACTCTAAATATGTGGGGCTTCTCTGGGCTTTTTATATGGAGAGGTGGTGTAAGACAGTGGCTTTTGAACTTTTCTGACCATGACCCGTAGTAGCAAATACATTTACCCCTCAACCTAGTAAATACACAAAATCACATAAATAGGCATATCTTAAAAAAAAAAAAAATCTTATCATGACCCACTAAATTTATTTTGTAACTCACTAGTGGGTGATGACTCACAATTTAGAAATAATAGATAGGGGGCTAATAGCCAATAAAATTGAAAAGAGTGAGGGACTTAATGTACTCATGGGTCCCCTCTTTTGTCTCTTATCAGTTTTTTCAGTAGCAGGGTAGAGAAGGTTTAAGAGAACAGAAATTCTGGAATAGCAGGCCTAAGACTGCGTCTGCTTCCCCAGGCTTGTTCCTTCTACCAGGTTCCTGGGATACAAAGCAATGGGAGCAATGGGCTCAAACTCAGGTTTATCACAGTGACCTGTTGTAAGAGCTGGCTTGGGCAGTGTTGCTGGGAGGGCCAGGCACAGCGTCTGTGGGCCTCTCAGTCATAACTCTGGAAAGGGCTGGACCTGGGAGTGTGAAACAGGCAGGCAAAAGGGAATGAATAGTGCTAGAAGACCAAACAAAGGCCAAACGCTGTCCAGAGGTGGCCGATGTGCAGCCAGCAGACTGGATGGGACACTGAGCTTCTCCCACATCAAGGATTCTTAACCTGAGATGGGCCTCGTTGGGCCCAAAAGCTGCTTCCACCAATATATTTAAAGCTGTGTATGTAGATATATTTTTTGGTCACCAGATTTTCAGAGAGCCTGTGATCAAAAACAAAAGCAAAATAAAACAAAGATCTCCAAAACAAAACCCTTAAAAACCAGGAGGGTGCCCGGGTTGGGTAAATAGTGGGACCAGGGGGTCTAGACCATGTTGTGGCTGAGTCAATGTATGGGCAGCAAACAGCAGAGGGAGGGAGGTCACACCCAGATTTGCTGGGCCTCCTCTGGGTCTGAATGGCCATGAGGGAGACTTTGGAGTAACAGAGTACTTGGTATGTATGACTGGATCACAGGGCCAAGTCTGGGATGGAGACTTAGTGTTAAAGCCCCAGGATTGTGTGAGTGGGATTGTTGGTAGAAGTAGTGCTGCAGTTGGGATGGACTTGGGAATCTTGAAATGGGACTGAGCCTGCAGATTGAGGTGTTGGGAGAGCCAGGTGCAAGCAGTAGGCAGGACAGAGGCGGGAACCCTGACTGCCAGAGGGGCTGGCCTCTGGGGGGTGGGGGGCGTGGGGTAGAAAGATTATTCCTTCAAGCTACAGCAAGTGTGTTCACTGGTTATTTTTGTCATGTGCAAGCATACTTTATAGGAACATGAGACAAGACTGTCCGATCAGAATCTCTCTAAATGCTTGAAACCTGACCAGTTTTTCCTTTGCAGTATCTTATCAGACATCGATGAAGTCCATCAGAACATGGGCTATTGCCCTCAGTTCGATGCCATCACGGAGCTACTGACCGGAAGAGAGCACGTGGAGTTCTTTGCCCTCTTGAGAGGAGTCCCAGAGAAAGAAGTTGGCAAGGTACGGTGGGCACCAGAAGCCAGCCTGCCCCCTTCGGCAGGCTGACAGTATACCTTACAAGTGACCACTGGCTTCAGGCTCTTTTTATGCATGGATGCAGCAATATGAAATGCTGGCTCTTTGCACCTACTTTGCAGGGTGGGAGTCCGTGGGGGTGGGGGTGGGGGCAGGGGTGAGTGGACAGACACGTGCTGGAGAGCAGAGAGGAAGTGCTGTGCCCACTCCCACGAGTCCTTTCCCCCTGCTTTTTGGCTCCTTGGCACTTGATATTATAGAATCTACTCAGTGAAAAGAATTTTCCTAGTTCTACTCTGTAAAGAATCATATACAAGTGTAAGAAAGCATGATTAACAAATCAGACAAAAGTCAAGGTCCTTTTTATTACTCTAGGTTGGTGAATGGGCAATTCGGAAACTGGGCCTTGTAAAGTATGGAGAAAAATATGCTGGCAACTACAGTGGAGGCAACAAGCGCAAGCTCTCAACGGCCATGGCTCTGATCGGCGGGCCCCCTGTCGTGTTTCTGGTGAGTATGACTGTGCATGGAGCACTCTTGTTTGGGCCTGAATGGAAAACGTCACTTCCCTGAAGTCCTGTATGTCTAGGGATATTGCCGGACTGGCCATCCTTCCTCTGACCAGGAATGGCAGAGCAGCCTTAGAAAACCAGAGGGAAGGAAGTTCCTTTGTTCTGCTCCTTGATACACATTGGGGTGGCTTTGCCATGCCCTCCGATGCTCCAAAGGAGAGATGCTCCCGGGCCCTTGTTTCTCTGGTGTTGGGGCACCCCGGCACGTGTGGCTGAGTCTTGGATGTGTGATTTGACCTTTCTCTGGAACATTCTTTCTGACGATCTATGTGTTCATCTCCTGAAGATGGAGATTGTGGACACAGCTTCAAGATCCCCAGGGTGGCACCTGGGTCATTGTCCTAACATACAAATAGATGGAAAACAGAAGATTAAACTGGACATAGCCCCTTGACCCGTTTTCTTCTGCCTGGGAGTGATTACAGGAAGAAGCCTTGGGTTAAGGCTTTAATGTTATCTGGAGCATTTGGATCTGCAATTTGTTTCTCTAAGACTAGCAAGTACAATATAACAGGCCAGGCTGTAATGAGCTAGAATAAAAAAAGAAGAAAAGTAATTTTACCCAAACCTTATATGGACTTTAATAGAGATTTCAGACAAAAAGGATTTTTAGTGTGTACTTGTCAGTCATGAAAAGATGATTGAAACTAAATAGCTTTTTCCTTTCCCTTTCTATTCATTTGGAGAAATTTAATTTTACAAAAATTTGAGTTTCCCACTTGAATGACACATTGGTAAGAGTGAACTGGTTACAAACAAGTGTGCATTTTACTGCTGTGTGTGAGGTCTGGTTCTTTGGTCTATCAAGAAATAACTAGACTGGTAAGTTGAAATTTAGGCTATTTTATTTTATTTTATTTATTTATTTATTTTTAAAGATTTTATTTATTTATTTGACAGAGAGAGAGACAGCGAGAGAGGGAACACAAGCAGGGGGAGTGGGAGAGGAAGAAGCAGGCTTCTTGCCGAGCAGGGAGCCCGATGCGGGGCTCGATCCCAGGACCCTGGGATCATGACCTGAGCCGAAGGCAGACGCTTAACCGACTGAGCCACCCAGGCGCCCCAAATTTAGGCTATTTTAAAGATGCTTCTGCATTTAAAAACAAATCTATGTTTGTGTTTTAACAAATAATAGGACTTATTTTATTCTAATTACAGGATGAGCCTACCACAGGCATGGACCCCAAAGCCCGGCGATTCTTGTGGAATTGTGCCCTAAGTATTGTCAAGGAAGGCAGATCAGTAGTGCTTACATCTCATAGGTCAGTAGTGAAGACTTGGCGTGGCATCTGTGTTGTGTTTATTTAAGGTTTTCTGAGTAGCAATGTGATGATTGTATAAAAAATAGGAAGTATAGAAAGGCAAAGAGAAAATGTGATAATCACCTGAAATTCTATCACTAGGACACAACCATTGCTGTCATTGGGCTATATATCTTCGCAGTTTTCCTGTGCAAATCTGTACACACACACACGTACACACACACACACCAGGCGTGTGTGTGTATTTTTACAAGCAAAATGCAAGCTTTGTACATACACTGTTCTTTTTCACTTAATATCTTGTGAACATTATTTCAAGTCAGTACGTTTAGATGTGTCATCATTTCTTATAGCCCTGAGTAGGCAGTATTCCAATAGGAAATACCCTAATTTATTTAACTGTTCCTCTTTTTGTAGATATTTGGACTGTTTCCACCTTTTTTTTCTGTTTTTATAAGTGTAAACAGCATGGCTGTAAACAGCGTTATCCCCACATCTTGGTGTATTTGTCATAGGAGGCAGTTGTGCCCTAGGAAGCTGGGAATCTATTTCTTCGAAATTCCAGATGTCCTATGATGTTTGGATGGTTAGAGGAGCATCTTTCTAAAACAAAAATCTCTGTTTTCCCACAGTATGGAAGAATGTGAAGCTCTTTGCACTAGGATGGCAATTATGGTCAATGGGAGGTTCAGGTGTCTTGGCAGCGTCCAACATCTGAAAAATAGGTAACAAGGATAATTTCTTGGGGATAACACCTACTGAGAACACTTGTGCTTATTCTTTCTGTGAGCATATAAATGGTGGCTCTAAAATAAGGGGAAATAAACTGAACAAAATGGTATAGTGGAAAGAATGGGGGCTTTGAAGTCAAACAGACTTGACTGATTTGAATTCTCTTTACCTTTTCCTGGTGTGTGCCCTTGGACAAATCACTTAACCTTTCTGAGTCTGTATCCTAGGAATATCTGCTTTCTGGCTTTGCTAAACAAATGCGGTGGGGAGTTTTACACATGTCAGTATGGTTAGGCTTTGGAGTCCAACACAAACGAGTCTACATCCTGGCCCTACCACTTAGGAGCTCTGTACCATGGGCAAGTGACTAACTCCCTGGGCTTCAGTTTCTCTGTAACATGTCAGACTTCACGTGTCCAGGGGAGGATCTAATGGAATCGTGTGTCCGAGGCACTTGGCATGGCACGTCATGTAGAATAGATACTCAGTAAATGGTAACCAGTTCCTTCTCTCAGATACTTATTTTGAGAAGTTTCCTGAGGATCTTCCATTGGTTTTTTTTTTTCCTGCTTTCAGGTTTGGAGATGGTTACACAATCGTGGTACGGATAGCAGGGTCCAACCCTGACCTGACGCCTGTCCAGGAGTTCTTCGGACTTGCCTTCCCGGGAAGTGTCCTCAAAGAGAAGCACCGGAACATGCTACAGTACCAGCTTCCATCTTCACTATCTTCTCTGGCCAGGATATTCAGCATCCTTTCCCAGAGCAAAAAGAGACTCCACATAGAAGACTACTCTGTTTCTCAGACAACGCTTGACCAAGTAAGCTTTGAATGTCCAAAACAGATTGATTCTTCAGGGTGAAGATTCCTGATTCCTCTCCCCCACTCCCATTATGGGTCCTAGAGCAGATTTGGCTGTCTGAGCTTGAATTTCTGATTTCCAACAAGCTATGCTTTTTACTAAACCGCTCTGAATGTATAAAGGGAGATGATTCTATCTACTTTAGAGGGTTATTGTGAGAATAGGTTGTAATAATAATCACAGTAACTATCATTTTCTGAGTACCTACCATGTGCCAGACATTTTGCCAGGTGTCTTATCCCATTTTAAATTAGATAACATCAAGTACCAACCGGATTCTGGCACTTAGTAGCTATTCAGTAAATGTTAGTTTATGTTTCTCTTCCCTTTTAATCAGGTCTGTATGAATCAAAATAGACGACCGAACAGTTGGTGATTTGAGGGGCAATAGGGAAGCTCAGTTTTTAAATGGTTAAGGCTTTTTCCAGGTATCCCCGTCCCCCTCACACACAGTTTTCTACTTAATCTACTTATTCGATCTTGTGTTCTGCTACCTGAATTAATCTCCACACGGTGAAATGCAATCAGAATAAAGGAGGAGCAAGTGGAGAGGTATTTACAAAAGTCCACCTTTCTTTTGACAGGTATTTGTAAACTTCGCCAAGGACCAAAGTGATGATGACCACTTGAAGGACTTGTCATTACACAAAAACCAGACAGTAGTCGATGTTGCAGTTCTCACATCTTTTCTCCAGGATGAGAAAGTGAAAGAAAGTTACGTATGAAGAATACTGTTCGTACAGGCTGACTAAAAGAAAGGAGGAACTAGCCCTTCCTCTGCACCATGTGAAGTGTTCCAAAAGAAGAGCTGGATGTTTTTTGTGGGAAGAAGTAAACTGGATACTGTACTGATACTATTCAATGCAATGCAATTCAATGCAATGAAAACAAAATTCCATTACAGGGGCAGTGCCTTTGTAGTCTAGGTCTCGTATGGCTCTCAAGTGAAAAAGACTTGAATTTAGTTTATTACCTTATACCTACGTGAAACTCTAGTATGGAACCCAGCGGACATATGGGTTTGAAATCATGCTTTTTTTGTTGTTGTTCCTTTGTATTCTCACTGGGGTTGCAACAATAATTAATCAAGTAATCATGGCCAGTGATTATTTATCAAAATCAGAAGGCGTGTTACATCTTCATTCATGAAGCCGTGCCATGCCAGGAGACTGGTTTCCCGGCGACACATCCATTGCTGGCGATGAGTGTGCCAGAATGACTAGTGCCAAGTTGCCCAGAAAGCCTGAAGGACCGTGGTGTGTCGTGCACACTTTTGCAACAGCTGTTCTGCTTCAGGGTCCATCAGCATCGGTATCAGGTGACAGAATGGTGCCCTGGACGGGGGAAGCCCTCCATTGTTTCCCTCTTTGATGAGCTGCTCTGGTGTGGCCGTAACATTGCAAGTGTGGGTAGCTCAAGACAGGTGAGACTTGGTTCCATGGGTCTCCAGGGCCATTTTTCTGGGACTCTTTAAATATACTTAGATCCTGGTAAGCAGCAAAGAGCCGCCAGGGACTAAAGAGCTGGCTTGTTCAAACCTCGGGAGGCCTGTGTCCATTTGTCCTGGTTGTCTGCTAACACGGTACATTGCATCTCAAGATCTTCCTGTTTGACCCAAGTGTAGTGTTATTTCTGGCTTTTTAAATTAATCTAGAATATGAAAGGATAGAGTTGTATTTTGACAAAAATCTTTGTGCTTTTAATGTTGTTTGGAATCTTAAGTTCTGTCAGTGACTTGTGAATCCCTTGGAATGGCCTCTTTGTAGAACCCCGTGGCGTAGAGGAGTGGCCCCACTGCCTCACTAGCTTTATTTCTCATGGAAGCTTGCAGAGGGAACCTCTGATTAGTGCCTGGTGACCAGAAAACAATGTGGTGGTCAAGATCTCGTGACAGCATTATATTTGAGTTTATTTAAGATCATTCAAAATACTCTTAATCTCCGCTTGTTAATCAAGTATTTTTTGAGTGTATGTTGTAGCTGAATTGACCGTGTATGGATGGATTGGGTCTGGAGGAATTAAGTCTCAGTAGATATCCTGTGCCATGTTACTCAGCTAACAGGTTTACAAATACAGGTTTTGTTGTTGTGGTTGTGGGATCCCAGTGAATACTGGGCAGCCTTTTTTTTTTTTTAAATAGCAACAGTGCAAAAGCCAAAAAAGTCTGTCATAAGGGTCACAAAACTAAACAATGAATACTTTCACAAAAAAGATCAATAACTTTAAAACTTGTTGAGTAACACAACTTGTGCTTATGGGTATATTTGGTACTGTCAGAAAATTGGCTTTGAAGATCTTAGATACCCCATTCTGACAATCTCAAATTTTTCATCTCTTTAGTCCTGAATTTCTCATGAAAAAAATAAAAACAGCAAATGCCCCCACATGAAATACATTTGACTTTTCTGATCCAGTCTTATTTTTTTAGTCAATAAACACTTTAAAAAATATTATTTCACTAATGCTTAATGTGATCTGTCTTGAGACAACAAAAATATGAGGGAAGTACTATTGCGTGAAATTCAAGCCATCTTTCAATATCATTACTAATTTCTTTTTCTAAAATTTAAATACTAACTCTAAAGGTGTTAAGATTTCACATCTATTTCAAATCTGTTTTTTAAAATTTACAGAAAGTTATCACATAACTTGTTTGGCAAAAGAAAATGACTTAGAAATTAATGCCAATATTTTCTAAAATGATAAACAAGTAATGAAGGCCCATTTCCAGTAACTATTGGCATGATGAGGTCATTACATTTTGTGCAGTCTTTAATGATATAAAATTCATAATTTAGTTTCTCCTGATTTAATATTTTTCAAAATCAAACTTTTGTTAGTTTTCCCATTTCACTAGAATCATGTTCTAATTCTCTATTTTATTAAATCAGTGAGCAGCTCCTGGCTCTAATTACTCTGACTTCAAGGCCATATTTTAAAAAATTCAAAAGAGACTGTGAACTGTTTTGGAAAAAAAAAAAATTCAATATAGATTTCCAAGGATCTCTTCTGAAGCTAGAAACAATCTATAGCTACACCCTGACTTCATTGTTACCTTTTAAACTACCCAAATAGTAATCTTCTACATTTTCCTGTGTAAACCTAATTATAGTAGAATTTTTTACCAACTCTACTCAAGTAAAATTTCTATATATTCCCTGTGGAAATATAAGTATGTGAGTTTCAGAAATTCTCAAAAAAGTGTCCAAAGGTTGCCGCTTTTGCTTCTTTTGGACACCTTGGAAACTTTATTATCAACTGTGAATATGAAAAATACAAAAGAAAACAATCACAAAGCCCTTTATACATACATAAACATCCAGCACAGCTCATTGTTAAAAAACAGCCAAACCTCAGACTACTGTATTTCAATCTCTGTACTGAAAGCGTGTGCATTGTGGTGATTAAATGTTGCACGTCTTTCACTCACTGTAATCATTGACGAAAGGGATTTGTCTGTTTTCTTCTTGTGGTTGTATATATCAGGTAAATTTTTTTCCAAAGAGCCATGTGTCATATATAATATTGAACCACTTTGATACTGAGATACTAATTTGTACCCTTGTTACTATTTACTAGTAATAGTACTCTAGTAATATAGCTCTAATTCTCTTCAAAATTGTTGCATCCCTTTTATAGAATGTTTCTATTTCCATAAGGATTAAGTATTCTCTCTTCTTATACCCTAGGATGAAGCTATGTTTTTGTGCTTTTTCTTTATCATTGGCTCTTCATTCCAAGCACTTTATGCTGTCTCTAATGGGATCTATTTTTGCACTGGAATATCTGAGAATTGCAAAACTAGACAAAAGTTTCACAACAGATTTCTAAGTTAAATCATTTTCATTAAAAGGAAAAAAAGAAAAAAAATTTTGTATGTCAATAACTTTATATGAAGTATTAAAAAAAAGGCATATTTCTATGTTGTAATGAGTCACGAAATAAAGCTGTGACCGTTCTGCTGGTCTATGCAAATTTATTTCCGTGCATTCGTAGCACCACCTACTGTTAAAGCTTGTAAAGACATTAGGAAAGTAAGAAATGTCCACTTGTAGTGGGAAGCTCTTTGATTCAAGGGTAGAAATTTTAGAAGAGGCTAAGTGTCCTGTTACGAAAGAGAACTGAGGGGAGTACTTGGAGATAAAGGGTGTTTACACTTTCATAATTCAGTTAAGATAGTAAATAATAAGTTTAAGAGGTTTTTAGGTAAAATGTATTCAGCTTACTGATTTTTGAAGCTAGAGCTGGAAATACTCTGTAGCTCAGTTTGTTTGATAAAAACCTCACTGCTTTATTTGGTATTGAAGCTACAAAGGCCGCCTTCAGAGGTCTTTTGTTCGTTAAACTGAAAATACAAGGACAGCGTGTGCCAAGTATACTAGCAAGGTCTGCGGGGTTTGGTGGCCTGGGTGAGCACGCAGAAAAAGTGGAAAAAGTAGAGGAACATCGGAGGTGCCTTCCCTTTCTCCTGTAGAAAGTGCTGTGCAGTCGAAAGCCAGGGTTATGTGGGGCTGTGACGAGACATGTGGATGTAATTTTCATAGCTCACTAGCGAAGTCTCAGGAGAGATGTCTGCTTATCTCGGTACCTGAAGAACCTCCGTCAGACTCCCCCTCGTAGGCAGCATGGCAGAGTTGTGGGGCCGCCTCTAACGGCCCTGAGGACAGGTGCCGAGTGGTCCTTTGCTAAGGCGCGCAGCCCACTGCGTGCAGAGGAAGGATCTCGGTTTGTGAGTGAGCCTTCTTGAGCACTTGGAATCAGCATCGCAGCTGTCTTTCCCTCTTAAAGTTCACATTACAGCGACGTCAATGAAATGATAGAAAGCTGTGTTTCTTTGTGAAAAATGACAATCGAGAGAAGAAAGCTACTGAAAGATGAAAAGGCAAGTAATTTAGATAACCATGTAAGTCACCCATGAGTCTGGAGGAAAACCTTCTATCTAGAGAAGAGCCTATATACACATTTGTAGGTTCAAAAGAACCTTGGAACCTTTGAAATGGTAATGCATATATTAAATATGAAAAGGTAGAAAATTAGCTACCTTTTTCAAGTATTTTACTGTGTTGTCAGGCACTTCACTTACTCCCTAATTAGCTATCTGCCCTATGAGGTAAGCAAGACCATTTGATGTGCAAGTAAACTGTGGCTCAGTGGATAAAGAACTTGTTTAAAGTTAAGCTGCTACCACACTGGCAGAGGGTTCTTTCTGGTGAAGGTGAGTATAAGTTACAATTGCTCTCATAAAATCCGCCTGGCATCATGATACAATAATTTAACCAGTATTTATTGAACTCTGTTGTGTGCCATATACTTTTCTAGGTTGTGGGGTGCAGTGTTGAAGACTGAATTCCTGCTCTAATGAACTTAAATTTCAGTGGAGAAATCATACTCGCATTCACAATGGATGTGTAGACAAACACATATAATAAATTCAGACTACAGTAAGTGCTAAGAAGAAAATGAACCATGGTTATGAGTTAATGATGGAGATGAGTCAGAGATGGCCACCTGAAGAGTGACATTTGAGTTCAGATCTGATCAAATAAGTGGGAGCCAACATTTGAAGGTGGGCAGAGAGAATGTTCCTGAAAGAAAGAACATCTGGTGCAGAAGCCCCAAGTGGGAAAAAGGTTGGCAGGTTGGGGAAGGAGAGAGAGAATTCCAGTCTCTGGAGTGGTGGAAGGGGCAGGAACCAGAACCTGTAGGGCCTCCCAGGCCATGTTAAGGTATCTGGATTTCATTGTTAGTGCAATGAGGAACCACTGGAGAGTTTTAAACAAGGTAGTGGTTTGATGTAATCACTGTTTCAGAAAGAATGCTGGCTGTATGGGGAAAAGGGACAGAAGGGAGGCTAAGATGTTGGTGGGTTGGGCAAGGGTGTAGCAACAGACATAGGAATAGTAATGTTCAGGATCTATTTTAGAGACGGGGCCAACAGGAATTACCGACAAGCTCCATGTAGGGGTTGAGGGCAAGAGCTATCAAGGTGACTTCTAGTTTGTGACTCAAACTAGGTAAATGGTTGTGTTAAAATGGCCATTCATACTTCAGTCTGGTGCTCAGGAACAATGATGGGAAAGAAGATAAAAATGTGTAAGTCATCAGTACGTATATGGTTTTTAAGCCTTGCGACTAAATGGGCTGACCTAGAGAGAATGAAGATAGAGAACATTCCTGAGCCCTGAGATCCTACCCACATGTGGAAGAGAAGCCAGCAAAAGGAAGAGAGGGATTGGCCAGTGAGGAGGAAAACCTGAGTTTGACACCCTATACTGAAGCTCAGAATCAAGTGTTCAGGAAGGCAAACACTGCTCTCAGTGTGTCCCAACACTGCTGAGAAGCAAGGTAAAGGCAGAGAAGACGACTGAATTTGGTAAGACAGAGGTCCTTGGTGACCTTGAAAAGAGTCCTTTCAGTAGACTGACAAGGATCAGGTTGAGGGAAGAGTAAGAGGTAAAGATGGGGAATATACGTGTAACTCTACTGAGTTCTGCTTTACTGTGAAGCAGAAAACATGACAATAGCTGGATCACAAAGCTTTTATTTGGATTCTTGTCTGTTAATAGTATATGCTGCACCTGAACACCCATCTCACCTTTCAATTTTTTTTTTTTTTTTAATCCTTTAAGACATTTCTTCTATCCGGAGTCTTATGCTGTACTTTGTTTTCCAAGTTTCCCTTAAGACAGCTAATTCATGATTTACTATTTTATACTCACAATATGTCTTAGAAACACAAAATAATATGGCTCGAAATATAGACTATCAAGAGAGCTTGTAATTACTAAACCTAGTTTTAGAAGGCAGGTGCACTCAACTAAAATGGAAATTAAAGGTGTTTGAAGAAAAACCTTAGATAGAATATGTGGTGGTACTGAAAACTTTCTGGGATGATTATGTTATCTTCTTAATGTAACTTAACATTTACAATAAAGTTGTTAAGTTGTTACCGTGTCACTACCCTACAATGACCCAGTAAAAGCTCTAGAAAAGAGCGCATAAATACAAAACACAAATAAAAAAACCTGCAGAATGGGTATGTAGGCTTTTATTCAGGCAACCATTCTCATAACCATAAAGATCTCTTCAAAACAAATAGCTGTCCCAAGTATCTGTTAGTGATCCAAAATGAACAAAAATTAACTATAAATGAAGACATTTCAGCACATAAAACAAGTCTGAAGTTTTTAACAGAGACCTAGTTACATTATTTTCGAAGTTCGAGGGACTCATAATTAATGTGAAAACCATAATTAATACGGATGACAAAGGTGACACTGGACTTTGCCAAGATAAAGAAATATATTTGATCTTAGATTAGAATCCCATTTGATCACAAAATAAACTTTACTGAGCACAAATATTTTAAATCTCAGAAAAAAACAGACATGAAAAGATGGACATTATACATAAATGATTTTAAAATACCGGGTTCAAAATGTAAAATCATCATTTGAATATAAGAAAACATTATAAAAGCAGAGGGTTGTCAAAAGGGAGTACAAGAGATATTCTGAAACCAATGAAAAATCAAGATCCAGTAGTAGCAACTTTTTTTTTTTTTAAAGATTTTATTTTATTTATTTGACAGAGAGAGAGAGAGAGACAGGGAGAGAGGGAACACAAGCAGGGGGAGTGGGAGAGAGAGAAGCAGGCTTCCCCGCGGAGCAGGGAGCCCGACACAGGGCTCAATCCCAGGACCCTGGGATCATGACCTGAGCCGAAGGCAGACGCTTAACAACTGAGCCACCCAGGTGCCCCAGTAGCAACTATTTCTAATGTGTGACAGACACTGAAAATGCCAAGGGGAATATGAACAGAACTATTTCCTAAGGTGGAGAGGAACAGAGGAAGGAAGGATAGAGATGGCTTCAGAAGTGGAGACACAGAAAATTAACTTACCACCTGCTTCAAATGCAAGTGAGAATCTCTTAGGAGAATTTAAGCACCATTCAGACACATCTTATAGCAGTTAATGCAATGCTTCGTATTTCAATGGAAAACTATTTTAGAGGTGAAAATGATGTAGGGATCAGAAGCGTATTCTGCTGAGACACGAGGTAATTGACACTCTCCCGAACTGGAAAAACACATTTCATAAGAAGGCATATAAAGTTACTGACTGAATCGAATCTGTGGTTCGAATACTTCATGCCTAGTGAAATAGCTTACCAGCTGCCACAACCCTGGGATCCTCATGAGACTGATGTCTCCCAGCCGCACGACTGTCTGCACTCTCATTCCACCAAAGAACATGAACTGCAGAAATAAACCAAAAACAGCGTCTAAAGACTATGGCGTTACTACAAGTAAGAAATACAGAAAAATTAATCAGAAACATTAAGTCTTGTTCTTTAGATCAAAATAGTGGATATCAAAAAGGTAAAATTAAGTATGTTAGTAATAAGATTTCAGAGGGGGTCGGAGATTTGGGAGAGAAATTAATTAATTAATCAAACTGGTTTTATAGATGAAGAAAAGGAAGGCTGGAAAGAAAAAGTACCACCACTAAAGACACAATCAAGGCTAGACCCAAATTTTATGACTTTCTACTATATTTTACTTTATTTTTAAAAAATTATAAAGAAGATGTTTATTACTGAAAATTTGGAAGATACAAAGAAGAAAATTAAAAGTAGCATAATTTTAACAACCCAGAGAGAACCTCTACTGATATTTAGTGTATTTCTTTTAAAAAATGAGTAAAATCAGATTAAGGTCTTAGTGTATATTATGCTTAGTAGTATTTTTAAAAATCAACTAATGCTTATTTTCCATGGCAGTAACCTTACTTTTTAATGACTATGTGAATTCCTCCTATGTTGCTATGTGACAACTTTTTTATCCCAACCCTTTATAGTTGATTATTTATATCATTCAAAATATTTCAGGATTCTATAAAATACTGAAATTTTTTTATAATTAAATGTAAGATATGTTAGCCGTATAGATTTTGGAAAATGCAGATAAGCAGAAAGTAGGAGTCATTTCTACCACCCTGAAACAACTACTTTTCTATTCTGGTGCATCTCTTTCCATATTTATGTACATATGTATTTTTATATGTTTACATATTTATATACACAAAGCGTATACACTCTGTAAGGTACAGGACCTATATGATGTGTGTCTGTGTGTTACAAGTACATATATACACATATACATAGGGTCATACCACATTGTTTCCAACATTTCCTCATTGTAAACAATGCTGACATAAACCTTAGAGCAGCAGCTACATGTGTAGCTGTAATAATAACAATGTCAAAGACAACGACTACTAACATTTTTGGGGTGCTTACTATTTGCTAGGCTTGGTTCTAAGAGTTCTGCATGTATTAACTCATTTAATTTTCACAATCATCTTAGGATACTATTACCATTATTTTATCAATGAGCAGTATAAGTCACCGTAAGATGAAGGAACTCATGTGAAGTCACGAAGATTGTTAGTGGTGGAGCTGGGATTTACAGCCAGGCAGTTTGGATCTAATTTCCTCAACAGGAACTCCTAAAATTGGAACTGAGAGAACCACAGAGTATTTTGTATATACTTCTATATGTACAGTGCACACATTATACACTGTCCTCCAGAAATTATGTCCTGATTTATACTCAGCATATTACTATCTCCTATGCTGAGAATGTAATTTAAGATTAAAAAGTGTGCACACATGTTTTTAGTAGTTTTTTCTTATAAAAGTTATAGATGTCCATTATAAAAAATAGACAATAAACATTATCATTAATATCACTTAACATCCTTTCAAACTTCTTTCCTATATATCCTAACACACTACACACCTACGCATATTTCCTAGAGTATTGGCAAAAATTATTTTAAAATTAAAGCTTTTTATTTATATTGCCAAATTTTGGGGAGGGAAAAGATTAACACAGTATGAACCCTATACAGTATCTGAGTACTTATTTTTTCCAGCCTATCAAATACTTTATATAAGTATGTCTTTATTAGGTAAAAATGGTATCTCATTATTGTCTTAATCTCTATCTTCTTTATATATTTAGTAGTCATGTGTATATCTAGCTTTGCGTTAAGTCTTCATTTCTCTTTTTGCTTTTGAATTTCATTTATGGTGTCTTGGGGCATGCAGAAAGATTGAGCCTTTTAAAAATAAAATCATCAATTGATTTTTTTTCTCTTCATTGTTTCATTTGTTTTTTAGCTTAGAAACATAGTTCTCATCCATTTTATTAAACACATTTATATTTTATTTTAGTAATTCTGTGACTACTTTTTGTCTACACTTTATAATCCATGTGGATTCCAGTTTAGTGTATGGTGTGAGACAGACATCTAATAATTTTCAGTTTTTCCTCCTCTTGATATATTTTCCAACTTAAAAATACCTTTTTCTGTATATTCTGATTATTTTCTTAGGATACACTGCTAGAAGTTAAATTTCTGGGTAAAGATCAGAAGCTTTGCTTTGAGTGTGTTAGATGTGAGATATCCATTGGACATTAAATAGGAAGTTAAGGAGGCAAATCAATATGATGAGTCTTTCAAATATTTAATTAGCTATTCTTAGTCATTTATCCTCCCAGATGAACTTTACATACATTTTTAAGAGTTTGCCATAAAAAACTCTCTGAAATTCTGACTGCAGTAACTTTCAACTTTAAAAGTTAAATGCCCCAAATAGATGTTTTAAATATAAATTCAGCAGGCACCTGCTTAGCTTAGTTGGTGGAGCAAGCGACTCTTGATCTCAGGGTTGTGAGTTTGAGCCCCACATTGGGTGTAGAGATTACTTAAATAAATAAACTTTAAAAGCAAATAAATAAATAAATTCAGGTACGTATATTTACCTGTAAGCTGTGTATACCCACAATGAAGTGTTAAGAGGTCATTATTAATCATGCAAATGCATTATTTCTAGCATATATATATATATATATATATCAAATAACATTTTGGTTTTCTTATTCCTATGTCACTCATACATATATGAACATATGTGTGTGTACACACATATATTTATATATATTTATACACAGACACACATATATGAATGACGTGTTTGTGTATGTGTGTATCACACAGATGACATAAAAAGACCAAAATGTTAACAGTATTATCTCTTAAGTAGGGGAAATATTTTCCCCCCTTAAGGCATCTCCATCTCTTTAGTATGTGTAAAAATATGTACTACTTTTTCATTCAAGACAATCTCTCTACCCCAAATAATGTTATTTTAAAAAGTCAATAAAAGTATATTTAGAGGAAAAAAAAGATGAAAGGACAGATACTTTCTTGAGGCTCTTTGCAGTTTTTTATCACTTTGATGTGTCATGGAAAACATGACATTTTAACATTTGAAAAAGGCTTCATGAGGTGTTAACGTTCCAAACAAATAAGATATAAATCAGGTTTTTTCAACCCTTAAAATTATTAAAAAAAACCCTAAAAATTTGGCAATAAAAGTTTAAATATATACCACAATGGAAAAAAGAGACAAACTGACCCACGAAACTTAATAGATTACCAATATACTTTGCAATTTTATAGAAGAAGTAGACAACTATACCTCTGTTGAGTGCTCCATATTCTGTGTGGAAAACTCCAACGAGTTTTGAGTAGCCTAGATCCACATGGGCATTAACTGCCCTTTTAAATGCATCACCCCACAAAGCTGGCCCACCTGGCTTCATCTGAAAAATAACCAGTTCATAGACTCCTAGAGTAGGGAGAAAAATAATTATTTTACAAAAGATATTCAAGAAATTTCTAATCAGGTTAGTTCAGTTCCACTGGAAGACTAATCTACATACACAGATTTGGAGGATCATAGACATGTATATGTTTATGTAGACGTATTTATGAATTATGGCATTAGTTTTCCTTGCTTTTATGTTTAGAAAGTCCTTGTCCAAGTTTAAGGATCACTTGTTAAGCTTATACAGAACAACAAAAAAGGGAAGATATATAAAGCTATTATCTGAAAATTTTTTTTAAAGATTTTATTTATTTATTCGAGAGAGAGAGACAGAGGGAGAGCACAAGCAGGGGGAGAGGCAGAGGTAAAAGGAGAAGTAGACTCCCTGCTGAGCAGGGAGCCTGATGTGGGACTCGATCCCAGGACCTGGAGATCATGACCTGAGCCAAAGGCAGATGCTTAACCATCTTTGAGCCACCCAGGTGCCCAAGTTTTGTCAATAAACAAATATTGAGCATTTATAGTAAGTCTAGGATTTTTGAGCTCCCTGAACCTGCACTTTCAGGTAAGAAATGAATAAGAAAAGCATTTTCTGATCTCCCATATTTCCTCTTCTTTCCAGAGGAAATACTTTTTGTTTGTATAATTTCCCCCTACAGGATTCCATTTCTAATAGGAACAAACGATGGAGCCAATGATGTCTGAGTTTTTGAGTAGGGGAAAAAAAAACGAAACAACTGAAGGAGATGATTTTATTGTTCCTAAATATCCAGGTAAATACTTGAAAAGCATTTTACCTTCTGATCAGAAGTATGGGGCAGGTAGAGGAAGAGGAACTAGGGGACAAGTAGCTTTGAGAAGAAAAAAAAAAGCACAAAGTTACTAAAGAGTTATGAACAACAAAGAGGAAAAGAACCAAGATTTGACACTGTCCGAGAAGCCACTTAGTTTTTAGATAGTGCTGGAAGCCTGTGGAAAGGCCTGTGGAAAGGTGGATAAGGATCCAAACAAGACTTTCAAATCTCTTGTACTCTATACTACAAAGTTAGGAAAAATGGGGGAAATAAAATAACATTTGAATTAATTAATATTTCAAAAAATCTGACTTTTGTTTAAAACAATGTTAAGGTAGGGCGCCTGGGTGGCTCAGTTGGTTAAGCGACTGCCTTCGGCTCAGGTCATGATCCTGGAGTCCCGGGATCGAGTTCCGCATCGGGCTCCCTGCTCGGCAGGGAGTCTGCTTCTCCCTCTGACCCTCCTCCCTCTCATGCTCTCTCTATCTCATTCTCTCTGTCTCAAATAAATAAATAAAATCTTTTAAAAAAAAAATAAATGAAACAATGTTAAGGTAAAGGTTTCCTTAAATGAGCAAGAAAATAAAATCAGCAAGAAGACAAATCTTTAGTAATTATTTTTAAAATGAGAAATAAAAGGAAAACAAAAATGTTAAACTACAGTAATATAGCTTAACATTTTAATTCATTCCCCAACACAGTCTTACAGGCAAAAATACCCTTAATATTTTAAGATTAACTGTAACTTGTGTTTAAAAAATACCAAACTATGACAAAATATCATACATCATCTTTCACCTAACCATACTTGTCTGCTCCCAACCCTCAACTTTTCAACCTTTATTCCCCATGTCAACTTTTTTTTTTTTAAAGATTTTATTTATTTGTTAGAGAGAGAGACAGCGAGAGAGGGAACACAAGCAGGGGGAGTGGGAGAGGAAGAAGCAGGCTTCCCGCGGAGCAGGGAGCCCGATGCGGGGCTCGATCCCAGGACCCTGGGATCGTGACCTGAGCCGAAGGCAGACGCTTAACGACTGAGCCACCCAGGCGCCCCACCATGTCAACTTCTTATATTTATACCTCAAATTTAAGAGCTTTTCCAAATTGGAAAAAAACATCATTCAATGTTCATTGTTTTAATAAGCAAAGATCTAAAATTTATTTATCTCTATAATCATAATATATTCCTATATAAAACACAACATTACTTTTCCCTAGGGAAGTTTAGTTTTTTAAGTAGACTCCATGCCCAGCATGGAGCCCAACTCGGGACCCAAACTCACAACCCGGGATCAAGACCCGAGCAGATATCAAGAGTCGGACGCTCAACTGACTAAGCCACCCAGGCACCCCTGGAAGTTAAGTTTTTATAGCTTGAAATCTTTAGTATTTTCTCCATCAGAATTCAAAGTAGCTAAGAGGGAAGGACCTACCTTCTTTTGCAGGCTTTTCTAATTTGCTCCATGGCACCAGGTAAGTGATCTCAGTCTCTTGTTCATCTATGAGAGCCAGATTTGGAACGACAGATTGTTGCCATTCCTTATCTTTGGCTACGGCTTTCCGAACTTCAGTTCGATGAGCAAAATTATCTATGGGACGAAAAGGAGTAAGAAAAATAAAAACTTAATTAAAATCACCTATACCTTTTCTGGATTTCATTCAACTCAGCAAATGTTCATTGAGGCCACATAAGGACACTGTTCTATCACTGCAGCTATCAACATAAATAGATGTGACATCTGTCCTCAAGTTTCTCATGGTCTAAAAGGGGAGTAGAAATTTGAACAACTAATGATAATGTCATGTAGTGGGCTTTATAGGCCCTACCACTTACTAGGTAGTTGTGTGACTTAGGTTAAGTTATTGAATCCTTCTGTGCCCGTTTCTTGTCTGTGAAATGGGGATAATGATATAGTATCTCCTTCCAGGGTTGTTGTGAAGATTAAATGAATTAGTACACGAGAGGGGCTTTGAGCAGTGTTTGGCACCTAGATAGCACTCAATATATATTAATTATTCTTATTGTTTGAGGCATTTAAATTACGGCGCCCGTTTAGAGAAGGACTATTTTTCTTTGGTGGTGGTGGTGAGTGGTCAGGTCAAGGTATACTCTGAATTAAATTTAACATAAATGAAAAGAAGATGTGCTTTTTAAGCCTCTTCTTTGAACAGCTTCTAAAGAAGGAGTGCTGATTTTCTTATTATCACCATTCTTTTTACCCAGTATTTATTTCTCTTATGTTTGATATTTAAACATTTACTAAACATTTAGGCCTAGTACTATATTTACTATGAGGGTCTCATTAAGACTGATGGTAAAAGAGTTTTCTATGGTTTACATTGGGGATCTCAGAGCTTAAGTGAGTTATATTAAGACTTTACTAGTGATTTTTTTAAAGGGACCTGAGTCCGCTGGTGGCACATTAAAGCATAAACTGTGTTTTAATGGGGTTTATTCTATTACAATAGGGAAAACCCCTAAATTAGGGCCATTTTAAATATGGAATGAACACTTTTCATATTAAAATACTTCATGACTATTAACTTTGGACACTGATGATCAAACACTAAATGAAGGTATTGAAATTCTCTGGATTTCATCAAGTCCTGATGTGGACTTCACAAAGATTAGACATTGGAGTAACAAACATCCTGGGGATTCGTGCAACCTGTTCTTCTTTGAATATTAAACCAGGGGTAAATCAACTTCAATATGGGGAGAACTCTGATTGTCTTTACTTCCCTAGAACAGTAAATTCCCTGGAACCTTGGAATGCACAAATAACACAAAAATGATTTTCTCAACATAACAAATTATTAAATCTTAGCATTGGGTGAGGCCAAGAAGTTAACTATCATCCCCATCAACCTCTACTACTCTAAAGCCCCTACATATCTGAATTGTTTCTACTAAAATCCTGATATCCAGCCATAGCTTCAACAATAATAAGAAAATAACTCTCCCTTCCTTTATGATCTTACCTATTTGGGCTCTTGCAATCACTGCTTTAATTTTTTTCATAAATCGTCTTTATGACAAACCATTGTAAAATTTTTCTGAGCATTGAAGCCTAGCTCACAATTTTATGATTTGAAATACGAGATACCACACTTTTTCATTTATGGTAACATAAGGACTTGAGCAAAGGGTTGTTAAAGGTGTGCCACTGGGAGGAGAAATCACTGAATTCGTTTTTTGTTGTTGTTCCCCTTTTTAAAAGTTTATTTTAACCTGTGGGTATTTATACTAATTTAGATCCGAGAGCTAAGTGTCAAGTAACATTTAACAGAATGAAAATCTATACCCAACCCTGAAGCTGGAAAAATCATACCATACTTCCAAATATGAAACACTTTATTCATTTGGCCTCCAAATTCTACACTCCAGTATCCAACCAATTCAGAGTGAGCTGTCCGAAGATGTATGTTTTTCTTAACATTTTCCAGAAACTCATTCATCTTTGAGGGCTTAAGGCAATAGGTACGAAATTCATAAAATGTTCCATCGTATTGTCTGGGGCCCGTAGCAAAAGATGAGCACACCTGAAGAAAGATAAGGCAAATTTAAATATTTTGGGAAGGTAGGGTTTATAATATTGTTACAACCAAATCTGAATCTAGAAACAAAGGGCACGCATTAGACTCATAATCCATGTTTGTACTTCTTTTGTGATCTCTCTTTAGACATTTGTTTGGAGAAACGTCAATAAAGGTAAGTAGTCTTAAGTATGCTGAATATATAGTTACTGTTTCTTAGCAGGGATCCACTATTAGCCTTTTTTTCATGAAATTTAATCATAAGAAGGCACTGGGGTCTTAATAAGAGTTCTTTACCCAAGAACTACAATTAGGATTCTAATAAATTTGCAGATGTCTTCCCTTATTTAGCCAATATTCCATTTTTAGTCAATACTATATATGTTAGTTATGCATTTAAGTGAACTTTATAAAATATGCAGGTGTTTTGGCAAGCAAAATGGAAATGTGTTTACTTGCAAAAAACTCCCTTTTAGGTTTTTCTTAAAAATAAAAATTGCTATTCAGGTCAAAGTATTTCCCAAATCCAATGAAGTAGATCCCTGGTAAGAGATAGGAATGGAGTGTTAAAATCTATCCAACTGCATTATAACATAGTGGTGGACTGTATGAATGCTATAAAGGGAAAATCAACAAGTTAGAATTGTCTGAATCATTATTAGGTTTAATTACAGATGCAATGTGAAGAAGGGCATTTAATCCATCCAATTTTGCCAGATTGACGAAAATATCCCTTAAGAACTGTTAGTTCTTGTTGTATTAGTTGTATGCTACTTATATATAAGTTTTCTTCTAATTTAGTCCTCCAAGTCTGAATAAACTTAACTTTAGATAGGAAATGCCCTGCCAGAGATTATCCTCTGTGTATATATACATGTGCATGAGTATACATTCACACCCACACAATCCTATGGCATTTTCACTTACAAATTCTTCTTACTGTAGGTTTGGTTATCATGTGCCAGTTTCATGAAGCTTATTATTATTATTATTTTTTAGTTTCATGGAGCTTATTAATCAAAACTATCAAAAGCTTTGGTACAAAGCTGTGGACAAATTTTGGGCTTATTTGACTACCTGGTACATCAAATGAAACCAGTAGACTTCTTTATCTGACATAATTTAGGTTAAAACACACAACTGTCTATGTATTTCATCTGTGTATAGTATCATAATTATAATTATATATTTGAGTTCATTCCATTCATGTCCCCTGAGTTAAGTTCCTATTGCCCAAGTGTCTAAACTTACTTGAAAAGCAAGTATTCCCTCCAAAAACTATTGCAGATACTTTTATTTTTGCTGGACATGCTTTTTGTGTCATTTTAACCAAATTTTAATAAGAGAATGTTATCCAAATAAACAACTGCCTAGTATTATAGTTTAAAAAGTATTATAAATAAAATATATCAGAAAACGGGACAGTGTGGTATTTATAACAATTGCTTTTAAGTCGTTTTCCAGGGAATTTGTATTAGGAAACAAATACGTGGTCAAAGGCACGTATTTTTATTATCTTTCAAAGAAAAAACAGTAAGAGGGAAAAGCCCACAGAAAGGGTAACAGCAGTGAGATAAGTGAGTGTGCTTAGGGAGAGGTGATTTTTGTTAAGGGCAGAAACTACAACTGCGGTAGGATTCATGAGTGTTCTAGGCTCCTTATCTCCAAATACGGGCTCATTATCCATAAAGTGAAGTATTTCAAAATACTTTCAATTCACTTCCAATTCACTTGTGAGAACAACTGGCTGATATTTAAAAATCAAAGTTCAGAGTAAAGTTGTAAGGAATAACTCTTGGCCCTGCCCCAGTAGAGTGAGAATCAGGAAAGATCAGACTGGATTGCTAATCTTGGGTTAATGGGCCATCACTGGTTCCTCAGTTTTCAGCAGTCAGTCTGTAGAGTAGGTTCATCCCCTTCCGCTTGTACCCTTCCAGAAAAGAAGTACAAGCCTCAGTATCAAAGGAAAAAATCTGTAGATTCACAGAATAGGCCAAGTCCCGACAGTTCAGGATGAATCACAAAAATCTGTTGTGTGCTTTTCTCATCTAAGGTTAAGTGAGGTTATCATTCTGTTTGCTACGAGGTTCCTGGCCCTGCCTGGCTCGGCCACCACCCGCACGAGGCAGTGGGCAGCTGGGCAGGATGCTCCACCACTGGCACCCTGGCCCTCCTCTTCAGGGTTCTCTGCAAAACGCTCAGAAGTTGTGTACATATCGTTTAAACGGGGGAGGCCTGTTCTTTCGCCAGCGGCTGGTTGACCTATTTCTCCTCTACCTTCTGTCTGGAGGGGGCGGTGGCTTGTCAAAGGACAAATCAAAAGGAAAGGCTCGACCAGCCAACACCTGGCACCGGCCCAACCTGGCGAACGCAGCGGGGCTGGGAAGCAAATACGGGGCAGCGCGAGCTCCAGGAGAGTCCTCAGGGCCGCCTGGCACCTTAGGCCACAGAAGTCTTGTTCACGGCTGCTGGCGAGCTGGCCGGGAGGAGACACTGGCCAGCGCACCCTCCCGACTGGCTACACCCCTCCACGCACAACGCCCCAGCTCGGGGGTCTGGGACGCGCGCTGGAAACAGAATAATCTCGGCGCGCGAACCGGCTGGGCGCATGCGCGGCACTCGCAACTCTGGGCGAGCGAGCCGAGTAGCGCATGCGCGGGACTACTAGCTCCTCGCTGTCACCCTTCCTCCTCCCAAACCAGGGCTCGGCTTGGGCGCGTCTCCGCGGCCGGTACCTGAGGCGCGAGCTTCCGCGCAGCCAGAGCCCTAGTCAGGCCGCTTCGGAGGACGAGCATGGCGGGGCTTCGAGCGCTGGGAAGGACAGCCAGCCGGTACTCTTCCTTAGATTCCTCCTGTTAGGGCTTACCCGCCTGGAAAAGAGCAGCGACTGGACTCCTGGCGGACGCAGGCTGGGGCGGGACTCCGCGGCGTGAGCTCCGCCTCTGGTGCCGAGGAGCGTGGCGGCACCGCCCCGACTGCTCGCGTCCTTCCCGGGCCCCGCGCCCGGCGCGTTTGAGCGGCACGTGGCCTTTGGTACTCTGTTTCCTCAGACATTCTTACCCAACGTCAGAGGGGACATTAGGAGTGACCGAAGGCGGGGATCGTTCCTGTTCCACCTTTCTGAGCCCATCACCTCGTCTCCATGCGCAGTTGCGCAACGGTTCTTGAGTTCGTGTGCAGAATGCGTGTTTGTCCTTTGAGAAGGGAGTATGATGCGTGCACGGTAATGCTGTGCATTTAAAATCGTGGAGGTTTTCGCCCTGGTTGGTCGTTAGTCGGGGTGATTTACGTGAAGACCGGGAGCCTTCACTTTTCCTCATGAAGTGCATCCTCTTTCCCTAATCGCCACCCCAGCATGACCTCCGAAGGCTTCTAATAATGATTGAAATGGTATTTTTCAGGAGCTCATTGGAATGGGGGCATCGAATTAAATATTGAAAAGTCAAATAGTTTTGTAAGCCTTAAAAAAGCATACCAGCAGACCTCGGATCTTGTTCTCCGTATCCCTGATTATTGGTCCTCAGAATAACTATTTTCAACATCAATATTTTCCACTTGTTTCTTCTAATGCTTTCTTCTCTAAATTACAGGCTTTTCCTGGTGTGTCTTAGTATTTTCAGGTATAGATAGTATCTGTTGCTTGGAAAATGAGGATTTAGGTCTCTTACATACCACTCCCTCAAAATAACCTTCCCTTCCCCATCTGAATATGGGTACATTAAAAATGGTCACATTATTAATTTACAGTATATTAATGTTTACATTTTTATTACTAATTACAGAGAACACAATTACACAATGCATAATCAGACTCACAATTACACAATAGTTACATTATTGCATACATTGAAATAATACTGCTTATACTATCAAGAATAGGGAAATATTACAGGGATATCACCAGTGGTTGCATTGGTTGTGCCTTCATCAAAGACTTGAATTATCTGTTCAGAGGGAGGCTTTTTAAAATTATAATTCCAAAGGGGGTGATTAAATTTTTCTGGGTGATGGGCATCGTTTTGAATGATATGCCTGGACTGGATCTGTGCCTGGACTGGATCTTTATGTTTCAATTTATTTTCTTAGACGTTGCCCCCTCCCTGGAATTAACAATTTATTCACTTATTCGGCCCCTAACTATTAAATTCCTTCTATGCCTCAGGTACTTTTCCAGAAACGGGTACAGGGGTGAGCAAAAGACATAGTCCCTGTCTTCTTGGAACTTACTGGTTCCGGGAAAATATTAAGCAATAAAGAGAAAAATACATCAGCGATTAATAAATACTCTGAGAAAAAAACAATGTAGGATATGAACAGTGGGAAGTACTGGAGGGAGATAGCAGAGACTATTAGCTCTTTCCCATTATCCATTCTCCCTGCTGCTCTCTTTTTAAAAAATTAAACATCTAGGTGCAGCTGTGTGACTAAGTCCTGGCCAGTGTAATGTGTTAGTGCATTTATAACCTACTATAAGTGAATCTAAAGCGGTGTAGGAGGAGCAGTTCTCTCCTTTGTTTCTTTCTTATTTCTTCATGCTGGAATATGGGTGTAATGGCTTGACTTCTTGAATTATGAGGTAGAGGCCACATGCTGGAGACAGGACAACAGGAGAGAAGAGGCCTAGGTTCTGACATCATAGAACAGCGAGCTAAGAGTCCTGGACCGCCCATCTCTGGAGTTCTTTTACATGAGAAATCGTCTTCTAGTTTAAGCCACTGCTAAATGGGTTACACCTGTAATCTTAATCAATAGGAGTGTGACTACTTTTTTTCTCTCCCTCTTTGCTTTGTTTCTATTATTTTCCTCATACCTATCATTTATTAATCACCAAACTTTTTGCCAAAAGAATATACCTTTCATTATGTTAGTGAGCCCTCTTGCTCAACTGTAGACCCCAACAGTTAAAACCAGAAATAGACAAGACTGCTTAACTCATGCTGTTAACTAAAATTGTGCTTATTTCTTAGTGTACTTTCTTGAAGCATGATGAAGTTCTTTTTCAAGGACCCAGAACATCCCAAACACCACATCGGAAAAGCCCTGATAGCAACGTGATGCCTAGAAGACCATACCCACAGGTCCTCTTCTTCTGCCTGTGATCATGGGCTGAACACATACCAACCTTCACCCACGATCACAGGCTGTCTGCCTGCTCTCTTGCATGTATCCCCCCACTAACCTCTCCTTATAAAATTGTTAAGTGTCCATGTTGGGGGCAGAGAGGTCGGTTGTTAAGTCTTGAGCTTACCACCTCCCCTGGCTGCCAGTACCCACAATAAATTTCTCCCTTCTCTTTTCGAAACTCTTAACTCTTTTTTTTTTTTAAAGATTTTATTTATTTATTCATGACAGAGAGAGAGAGAGAGAGAGAGAGGCAGAGGGAGAAGCAGGCTCCCAAGGAGGAGGGAGCCCGATGCGGGACTCGATCCCGGAACCCTGGGATCATGACCTGAGCCGAAGGCAGACGCTTAACCATCTGAGCCACCCAGGCGCCCAAAACCCTTAACTCTTGAGTTACTGGCTTCTCAGATAAACTCTTGTGATGAGTTTATCTGACTGTTCTCCAACAGTGTTGGCAAACCCAGACAGGAGCTATGCTTTCAATTTGTCCAGTCCCCTCCGAATTCTCTGGGATGGAATAATTCGCCATGGCAATGTACCAGGGCTTACCCATTTGTTTACTGAGTTAGCAGCTGTGATGGATCTTTTGGTAACAAATATGATTAAACCTATTAATCAGCTTTTCAGTGTCATCTTTTAGAGTTATCTTTAGGGAGTTCTTTGTTCTCTTGCTCCAGTGTGGACTAGTTCTCTAAGATGGCATGGTAGCAATTCTGGGATCTCCTTTGCTTTGTATTGGACTTCCTATTGTCCGGATTTTGTTTCTTTTTCTTTTAACTTCTGATTTTAGGACAGGGTACATGGGAATTAAACTTCTGAGATTTGTATCTATAAAACATGCTTTATTCTACCAGCCCTCTTGATGCATATTTTGGGAGGGTGTAAAATTCTACATTGGAAATAACTTTTCCTCATATTTTTAAAGGCCCCCAGTGCTCCATTGTATAATACCTTCTAGTAAGAAATTCATGCCATTTTGATTCCTAATTCTTTGTATGTGACTTGCTTGTTTCTGTCAGTCTCGCTGGAAACTTTTATGTTTTTCTCTTTGTTCCTGGGTATTCTGAAATTTCACAGTCATGTGCCATGGAGTCGATATTTTTTTTCATACAGTGTTCCTCACTCAGTGTAACCTCATAATGTGGACACTCTTCAATCCTGAAAATTTTTTGTTTCTTGGATTTTTAAATTTTCTTCTCAATTTTCGGAACTTCTGTTAATCAAACATTGTACCTCCACTTGATCTTCTAATTTTATTCTTTCTACTGTTTTACATATCTACTTTTTTGGCTTATGGTTTTGGGGATAAAGTACCATAATTTTATCTTCTAACTCATTTATTTTAAACTTATACTTTCACAGTATTTATTCCCAAAAGACCCTTTTTTATCCCATCCCCAGAATATTTCTTTATTTCTCTCTCTCTCTTTTTTTAATCAGAAATAATATACTCTTTTTGTTTCATGGGTTCATAATTTCTATCTCAGAGGACATTAATTACAGGTGTTTATTTTTTAGTTATTGTTGTGGGTCTTCTTCCTGAATTGTTTCAAGTTTTATTATCATTTGATTTGTTTTCTGCCATGATACTAGTGTTTTTCCTAAAATAGTTTTGTATTTTTTTTGTTGTTGTTTATTTATTTATTTATTTATTTATTTTTTATTCTTATGTTAATCCCCATACATTACATCATTAGTTCTAGATGAAGTGTTCCATGATTCATTGTTTGTGCATAACACCCAGTGCTCCATGCAGAATGTGCCCTCCTCAATACCCACCACCAGGCTAACCCATCCTCCCACCCCCCTCCCCTCTAGAACCCTCAGTTTGTTTTTCAGAGTCCATCGTCTCTCATGGTTCGTCCACCCCTCCGATTTCCCCTGCTTCATTCTTCCCCTCCCGCTACCTTCTTCTTCTTTTTTTTTTTTTCCTTAACATATATTGCATTATTTGTTTCAGAGGTACAGATCTGAGATTCAACAGTCTTGCACAATTCACAGCGCTTACCAGAGCACATACCCTCCCCAGTGTCTATCACCCAGTCACCCCATCCCTCCCACCCCACCCCCCACTCCAACAACACTCAGTTTGTTTCCTGTGATTAAGAATTCCTCATATCAGTGAGATCATATGATACATGTCTTTCTCTGTTTGACTTATTTCACTCAACATAATACCCTCCAGTTCCATCCACGTCGTTGCAAATGGCAAGATCTCATTCCTTTTGATGGCTGCATAATATTCCATTGTATATATATACCACCTCTTCTTTATCCATTCATCTGTCGATGGACATCTTGGCTCTTTCCACAGTTTGGCTATTGTGGACATTGCTGCTGTAAACATCGGGGTGCACGTACCCCTTTGGATCCCTACTTTTGTATCTTTGGGGTAAATACCCAGTAGTGCAATTGCTGGATCATATGGTAGCTCTATTTTCAACTTTTTGAGGAACCTCCATACAGTTTTCCAGAGTGGCTGCACCAGCTTGCATTCCCACCAACAGTGTAGGAGGGTTCCCCTTTCTCCGCATCCCCGCCAACATCTGTCGTTTCCTGACTTGTTAATTTTAGCCATTCTGACTGGTGTGAGATGGTATCTCATTGAGGTTTTGATTTGGATTTCCCTGATGCTGAGCGATATTGAGCACTTTTTCATGTGTCTGTTGGCCATTTGGATGTCTTTGGAAAAATGTCTGTTCATGTCTTCTGCCCATTTCTTGATTGGATTGTTTGTTCTTTGGGTGTTGAGTTTGATGAGTTCTTTATAGATTTTGGATACTAGCCCTTTATCTGATATGTCATTTGCAAATATCTTCTCCCATTCTGTCGGTTGTCTTTTGGTTTTGTTGACTGTTTCCTTTGCTTTGCAAAAGCTTTTTATCTTGATGAAGTCCCAATAGTTCATTTTTGCCCTTGCTTCCCTTGCCTTTGGCGATGTTTCTAGGAAGAAGTTGCTTTGGCTGCGGTCAAAGAGGTTGCTGCCTGTGTTCTCCTTTAGGATGTTGATGGACTCCTGTCTCACATTGAGGTCTTTCAACCATTTGGAGTCTATTTTTGTGTGTGGTGTAAGGAAATGGTCCAGTTTCATTCTTCTGCATGTGGCTATCCAATTTTCCCAACACCATTTGTTGAAAAGACTGTCTTTGTTCCATTGGACATTCTTTCCTGCTTTGTCAAAGATTAGTTGACCATAGAGTTGAGGGTCCATTTCTGGGCTCTCTATTCTGTTCCATTGATCTATGTGTCTGTTTTTGTGCCAGTACCAT